GGCTCTCGCCTGATTGATTTCGATTAGACACAGAGCACCCCAAACGTGACTTCTCCTATCCTAATATTTATTTCATTTGGGTACATAGCTACATGCATGCATCTCCAGCAGTGTATTAACTTTGGTTTGCTTCAAGCTTCACTTATCATACACATCACCACACATGTTTAACATTCATGAATTTGGGTTCATACATTATGTGTAATTCAAGAATTTTACTGTGTAGGAAACTGTCTGTGTGAAAATCAAAGTGGAAGTACAGGTACATCAAGGTGTGGCAAATTCACAAAGATAGCACAGTGAAAAGGTTATTTCAAGAGGAAATTGTCAGTCAAAGAAGCAAACAAAACATATACATACATGTTGTTCTAATTATGTTTACCTTCTTAAATGTGGACAAGTTTGGATCCTTCACTATTAATATACTTTAGATGTTCTGATGTGTGCACTGAAATCAACTTTATGTCTCCATGTTTGCCCTACATTTAGCATTGTCCAAATGAATCAAGATGTGTGTCTAAATGCTTTCCATCACAAATCTCTGCAAGCCCGGAGAGCTTACCAGGAGCTCTACTTTTTATCTGATTGATATTTAAATGATATATGTAGACCTAAATATCATACAAGTATCAGTGCCATATTACTGTCATCATCATATTGTTCCTCGTGTATTGAAACTGACATTACCTTTGCATGATCATTCCTGATTGATGTCCATTAGGCAAAGTACATGGAGGATAGATCTACCGGTATACAGCTACACTGTACATGTACATTCACCATTTCTCTCTCCCTCTATCTTCTATCTCAGATGCAGTGTTGGAACAAAATTCTTGTTCTTTTTACTCTTTTATGTTCTCCACCAACCAAGTGCAGTTGCTGTATTGATTAGGAAAGCACAAGATGTACTTTGAAGAATTTGTGTTGATGTTCTCTCCTTTATTGTCTCAATAGAACTCAGGATAAATAAATCTCACCAGATAAATGGATGTGTACTTCATCTTTGGCATTTGTAAATTGTGAATAGTGATGCTCACACATCCATGTGTACATATCATTGCTTGTTTAAGATTGTTCAATGGCTTAAAGGAAACCAAAACCTTCATACTACATGTAAGTTACTTTTATTGTAAAGTTTAAAAGATTTGAATAAAATCAATGAAAATTTGAACAAAATCGGGCAAGGAATAAGAAAGTTAGAGCATTTTGAAATGACTCGTCACTAGAGGGCGGTATTCAATTTGATGACATCATCTGTGAACAACTCTCCATGCCTTTTGTACATAAAATTTCACAATTTTTTTGTTTTCTTCGTATTTATTTGTGTTCTTGATCCGACTTCATAACGTGTGAAGTAGAACATCATTTTGCATTCTATATCTTGCTTTCAGGGGAGTACATTATCTCAATCACAAGAAAGAAGGAAAAACATGAAATTTGATGTACAAAAGGCATGGAGAGTTGTCCACAGATGATGTCATCAAATTGAATACCGCCCTCTAGTGACTAGTCATTTCAAAAAGCTCTTACTTCCTTATTCCTTACCTGATTTTGTTTAAATTTTCACTGATATTTTTCAAATATCTTAAACTTTACAATAAAAGTAACTTAGTATGAAGGTTTTGGTTTCCTTTAAAGAATCAGATTACTCTTTGTACATGTATACTTCTGGAAAATCAAAAGGAGATTTGATAAAGGAAAGCAGTCCTGTACTATTATGGACATGAAGAGCAAACTTGTGCAAACAATTAGCATTGCCATTTTAAAGTGCTTTCCAAGACTTCAAGTGTTGATTTCAACATCCCATTGGTTTGACAGTTGATACAATGATCTCCCTTGAATCAACTAAAAATCATGTACATCCATAGAGACAACATGAGATTCTACAAAATCAACATTGTCCGAATGCTTGAGCACAAAGAAACAAATCTTGTTTATTCATCTTCTGGTCTTTAGAGAGGCGGCACAAGCACGTAGAATTCATCATCTTCTGGACTTTGCCGAATGGATACAAAGAGGTCCCAGTGCAGCTATAGACGTAGAATAGCCTGTTCACACCAGTTGAAATTTGGTTGAAACTCTTAATTTTAAAAAATCGTCGTGCTATGAAGAAACGTTGTTTGAAGAATCATCATATAAAGAACAATGTGTGAAGAATCATTGTATCACCTATGGGGCTAATACAGACTAGATAGCATCGTATAAAGAAACCAGTTTTGATAGGCCCTGCCGAGTTATACAATTTTCATACGATACGATGTTCAGAGTCATACTAGAACCGGACTTTGATTCTTTTTATCAAGCTTTTTGATGCAATACAACATTTTGTTTATGTATTTTTTATGACTAGTTCATACTAGAAAAAAAAAGCTTTAATATTGTATACATGTAGCTATATAATTCTTGTGTAACTATATGATGAATCATGGTAGTCTGAACACTGTCTTCTAAGACGACATCCATCCAAAGGCATTTCATTAAAGCTCTGATCACTCTGATGGGGATAGTATATTTGACAGATGATCACGTCTTAGGTTCCAAGGCTTAGCTCATCTTCACACCTCCGGGGTGACAGCCAATCGCTTCTCTGGTTTAGGCCCAGGATGATAATGCCTCTTATTCTCACACCTCCTAAAGATGATATTTATGATAGGGAAATCTCGATAATGCCTCGCAAGAGGAACATTATCGTTAACCAAAACGTGAGTGTTTTTCAGTAATGTAAGGAATCTTAAGAAGAGGAACTGTTATGGTTAAATCTCATACTACACTAAAAGGAAGAGGTTTAAACAAAATATTCAGACATATTTATCTTTTATCATTGTGGATTAGCCATTCCCCATTTCATCTCTAAGACCACCCCTCCCCAAAACATTTTGTTGAGCATAACAAAAGAGTGTAGTGTATTTGATGTAAGTATGTTAAAAGTATAATACAAAGAACATACTGCTCTTTCTTCAGAGTTCCAGCCCTACAATTATTAATGTCTTGCCAAAGAACATTAGTGCCAGGCTGGGATCCGAACGCTGAACCCTGGTACAGCTTTTAAAAATCTTATCAAGTGAAATCATATGAATATAATAATATTGAAACATTTCAATCATTTTGGGGACGTTCACACTATCTTCTGTAGATGTGAAGTGTAATGAAGCTTTAACACTGTATGCTGTGTTCATACTAACCTGTGTTGGTTAACATACAAGAGTATGGTTCATTTTTATCTTTAAACCTTTAAAAACACAAACATAATCAGTTACTTTATTAAGAAAGTATACAGACAGGCACAAATTAACACCCAAAACTTTCTGTTGCGGTTTACAGAAAAGCAGTAAGATAACCTTGAATTTGTATATGTACATGAAATTCCTTGTCGAAGTCACCTGAAGTTTGTTGAGAATACGTTTCCCCTCTGCTAGCATTGATTCTGGCCTCCTTCCTGATTATGCATGCAATACGACTGCACCACACTGCCCTAGACAGCACTCTGTATCAAAGTAGAAAGCAGTGAACAGTGAAAAGCCAATTTGATTTCATATGATGACAGAATGTTAAAATCATATTGATGTGATTGGTTTTCTTCATGTGCCTTTTAGGATTCTGCTTTTCATTTCTCTCTTGTCATGTTTGGATTGATAGTCCCTGGATAACTGAGTGATTCAGAAGATCCTAGCGGGAATAGGAGGGGGGGGGGGGGGGGTTGGATTCAGATAGTGAAGGTGTAATGGATAGAGGTGCATTTAGAGAGAAAGGAAAACAGAGAATAGATAGAGATAGAGAAAGAGAGAGAGAGAGAGATATGAAAGGGAAGAGATTAAATTGTAGACAAGTGAGATGGGATAGAGAATTGGAGATGGGAAAGACAATAGATCGATTGATAGAGAGATCAAGAAAGAGAGAGACATGGATTGATATTCAGAGAGAAAAAACAACTAGATTTAAAGGTAGAGATAGAGATAACAGTAGCGTAAATGAAGATAAAATAGGAGGAGAAGGAGAGGGATGGAGGCCAGGAGATAGCTATAATAATACGGAAGGGCTGCTACAGTGAGCAAAGTAGAAAAGATATCACCGGTACACCGTTCATAGCGTATCTGGTACAGTGCTGTCAGCAGTAGATAGTAAGATATTGTGATGATATAGCCAGAGGATGTCTCTTCATGGCTGCATAGATCTGAGAATCAGAGAAGATAAATTGGATAATGCTGACAGAGGAGGGAGGATACAGCATTTTAATAACACTAAGCATTAGATCCCTCTCCATGCAGCCACGATGTACATCAATGCTGTTTGGAGAATCTGCTGATTAGGAAACACTAACAATACATGTGCACCATGCAACAATAGAACTTGTAATAATACATTTCTGTCTTCAGGTTACAGTGAAATGTGTTTGTAAAGAATGTTTTGTCAGTTTATAACCAGACTGGCTTTAACTCTTTTACCTTTAACAATAACATAGAGTTAATGCCATTTAGGCTTTCAGTAGAAAATCTCCAAATTCTCAATATGATTTTAACAGAAATTCTGAAATTTGCAACATTTCAGTATTCATGAGCAATCACATTTGTTTATCACATGAATCTTGGAATTCACAAATATTCAAACTAAATTGAAGCATTAAACTGTTAAAAGCCAGGAGGTGAGAAGGGTGCTTACTTTCTTTAAAAATAATATGAGTTAACACCTTTTTGGTTACCTGAAGATTTCCATTTTTACATTGTAATTTATTAATACAGTGATATTTCAAAATACTATGTAGGTGTACATGTAGTTCATCCCATACATGCATGCATATAAGGAATGTCTCACTTACAGTGTATTCATCAAGATCCTTTTGTTTATCAATAACCACTCATTCATATTCTATATTTGGTTTGAGTTGAAAATATTGAACAAATAGTACCACAATCATATCACATTCAAGAGTATTTGAAGGAGATTAGAAATGAATTGTTAAACAAATTGTTGTTTTGTCTCCCCTTTTGTTTGCCTTCCAATAGAAACTCTTGGACTCTCAGAACTATCAACAAGCAGAGCAGACGACCAGTGAGGATTATCAGGTCCAAAGAGTAAGTCACTATTCATTGATCGTAGCAGAAACAAATTATACATGCAGTCATTACCAACATTCAGTGGTGGAGGGGTGGGGGTGGTGGTGGGGAGGGGTGGTGGATGGGAGGGGAGGATGGTAGTAATCTACATGTACACTCTTAAAAACATAGCTTCAAATATGAATAGAATACATTCAAACTTTATCAGAAGAACTCGTACGAGGGATATTTACGAGAATCTATTAAAAATTAATAATACAACAATGTTTTGTGTGTTCATACTAAAATCCCTCTCTGACAATACTGTTTTACAATACTTTAATTATTTGTCAAATTCTTCAGGAGTAAATGAATAAAGAGGCTTTATTTAAGATCGCTCAATTCAAGTTTTGTGTAAGATAGTAGAGTGGGCACAACTGCACCTTACAAACATCCCATCCACCTTGATGTAAGCGCTGCAATCAAATGCTCCCCACTTCAGCTTCTATTCTTAAAGGGCCTTACATTGTAGCTCTTGTTTCTATGCATTTTTATCGTCTCTCCTATCACCTCTCGCTTCCTTTTGCATGGAGGCTTCATCTAGTCAGAGTCAGAAAGGCATTAACTTGTATACTTTAATACAGAGTTAACGCCCTTATGGCTCTCAGCGGACGACATGTCAATGAATGAATGGTGTATGTCAGCAAGCAAGCAAGAGGCATTAGATGGGAGACGGTTAGAAGGTAGTTGAGATGAGAGGATGGGCTATTAGTGACAAGGCTTGAACGCCCTTCTGGCTCTCAGCGGACTACATGTCAATGAATGAGGAGGCATTAGATGGGAGAGGGTTAGAAGGTAGTTGAGATGAGAGGATGGGCTATTAGTGACAAGGCTTGAATGCTTCTCAGGGTTATTAGGCTCACATGACAGAAAACGTATCTCAGTGATAGCCAGCCGGCCATCTTCCATTCCTGATATCAATGTGAAGTTTCGAGTAGATAGTACATGTACAGTATCATATCATATAGAGATACTACAGTACATCATATTGGATAAATTGCTGTCATGTACTCAGTTAATGGTGATACAAGGTTGGTTCAGTTTATACTGTATAAAGCACAAGGACAAGTTTTTTTAATGACGAAAGAGAATACATGTAGTTCGTGACAGTTGCTTTGGGTCGTGAATAGTAGTCGAGTAGTACTTCTACATGTAATTAATGTCAAATGTCATATTATGACTAACCGTAATATTTACCGTATGTACATGTACATGTAATTAGGTTTATATCCAGAGATGTTAACTATACATACAGTAGGCAAATGTAAATTTTGTTGGTGACAAGTTAAACTTGAATGTTGGTCTTTTCACATGTCAGGGTATAAATACATGTACAATTATTTCCTAGCCCTCGTAAATTTGATGTTTTTCATGTTTTTCGTGACTCAAGAAAGACAAGAATGAAAGGTGTACTAGTTGAACTAGGGCCTTTGTCAAATACTTGTAGATGTAAAGGGTTGATATGTCACATTTTCAAGAAACATAATTCGGGACAAATTAATTTTTCACATAATTTAAAAATTGTGAAAGTTGGCAAGGGTATGAATAATTAGGTTATTAACTGTACGTATTGTGTTAGTGTAACTTCTTTGAACCTTCAGGGTACCTGTCAAAATGATTTGAATAAACAATGATCACAATCATCACATACTTACATATTGTCAGTATTACACCAAGATCTAATTAACAAAAACTTTTCATCCTTCTTCATGCATAGATATCGATGAAGATCAGATTAAAATTCAGGAAGTTCCAGAACGTGCTCAATACGAATCGACGCACAATAGAATCTCTGTACAGACAACATAGGACATCATCTGTTTCTTCCAGTGTAGACTGTTGCACTCTCTCAAAGTCAAAACAAAGGTAAGACTGTGTGTTGTGAATGAAAAGATCAACACCATTCTGCAATTATTTGTGTCAGTTTCTAATCTTTATGTAGATAAGGTTGTAATGTAGCAGTTCTGACACTTACAAGTACCATGATATTCTCTATCTTATGATATTGCAATTTCAATTAACTACTTAATGGGTTTTAAAATAAAATAAAAAAAATCACATTTATTCATTTTGTCACTGTTTCTCATTTGGGAAATACTTTTGCTGTTTGATTCTCCATGTATTATTTGATGTCCATCTTGATACATCTTAGTTTAAAACTATAAAATCATTGAAAATAGTTTGTTTTATCTCAGTATTAATTCATATTCTTCAAATGATTTTGTTTTGATTGTTGAAATGCATTTGTTTGTTAATCATTTCAGATATGACTCTAATTTTGGTGCAAACATCTCTCGGGACACTGCGTGTGAAATCTCCTCTCTCTCCACTCCCACTGGAGCATTCATACCAACAAAGAACCTCACACAAGGTAAGAATTTTATTACTACTAATAATAATAAATCTGGTTTTACACAGTGCTTATAATACGGAAACTGTCTCTAAGCGCTTTACAGATATTAATATTACCCCTAACATAAGATTCATTTACGCACACACAGTGCACCATATCTACTTCTGGGAAGTATTCCTACCATATGGTCACCTTAAGGGCACATGGCAATTTTTATCATCTTACTAGGTGCCCATTTCTCTCCTTGGTATGGAGTGGCAGATGTAGAATAATATCTGGGTTTGGAAAGCTTTTGCCATTTTGCATTTATTGAATTCAAAAGAGGGTGATATTTTGCTTTTACATGTTTGATGAACTATTAACACTAACAGTGTACATGTAGATGCTATTTACTAGACATAAACCCTGCAAATGCCCAAGCCCCCCCCCCCCTCTTTTTGAAGTCATATGAAAACCTTTACAACAATATTGCATACATATATATTATACAGTATGTTACACATGTAAGCCACCATTCCATATACCTTGTATTGAAGCAGTTCACCGTCCTGTCCTGTCTGAGGGTAATAAATGTTAGATCATTTGTAGGAAACCTATTCATTTCAATTTGACAAATGACAAACAGAGTGTCACTACCTCCCCTGTTCAGACAGATGAATGGCCCAGTAAAACCGTAAAGACTTTAATGTTCTTGTTTATCCCTCAACCATTCAGGGTATTTGCCTGTATTTTGCGGTTTTCCTCAATAACGCTGATTTCAAGCCCTTAATGCTTTGCACGAGCAGAAACAGCAAATATATCTGCTTATACTGCGTCCATTTTCGTTACGTCACCAAGTCAATGGATGCAAGGGATTTTTTTAAAGAAAAGGAAGATCAGAGCTGCCAACCTTGTGCGACCAAAAAAAGGAATCATGATGGCAAAAAAAAGGAATTCATGAAAACGAAAGTTACAACCACGCGTGACACACTTCCAATGTAGAAAGGTTCATTCATCATGCTGTTTCTTCCATACAAGCAGGTATTTTTTGTGTGGTTATTTTGATATTATAGGCATTTCATTCTTTTTGAGAATATTTTTCTCTTCAAGTATGTTCTAAAATTAGTGTTCTATTGAATCTGTGATCAAATCACCATTTTTGGGGCAGTTGTATGACGTGCAGTATGTAAAAAAAAAGAATTATAACAAATTAAAACCAAATATTTTAAAACGTAATACCGTAATTTGGAGGAAAAAACGGAGTAATTCCGGCAAAAACGGAATGATTGGCAGCTCTGGAAGATATATAAGAAAGACATAATATAAGTATTCAAATCATTGAAAAAATTATGACATGCTGAAAAGTGCAAAATATTTTTCATACAAATGACATTTTTTAAAAAGTCTTTGGCATAACTTCTATCAGTGTACATTCTAGCTGATAGAAACATGGGATTTTATTAGAAAAATGAAGCAGGTAAAGAAAATCCAATGTTGCCATGTTAAAGCTGATCAATTCAGTCCTCAAACTTTTGATGTCATAAAAAGCTTTTAAGAAGCTAGGTTGAAGGAGTGGATGAAGCAGGATACATGAAGAGATGAATGGAAGGCCATGGCTCTCGTAGCCGGTAATAAGGAAAGCTTTATTTATCTTGCCGAAAGGAAAGGAACGGTTCATTCTTGACATCTTTCTACCTGGATTGGTTATTCATGAGGGGCCTACATGTTAGTAGGAGGGTAATAGTATCCATGCATTCATGGTCCTCTTCAATGGCAGAGGGTAGTGTGATGCTGATATATACTCTTCAAAACAGATATGAAACATTGATAAGAATTGACTAAACAGGGGAGAAAAGTGACAATGTTAAATGAGATAGAATTGAATTGAATTGAATTGAATTGAATGGTTTACTTATTAAAATTCCATTGCAACCAGAGGCTGAAATCACAAAGACAAGGCAGTCGTAAAATACAGGATAAAGGGTATATGAAATATACATGTACATGTACAATCATTCATTCGTTCATTCATTTTGGATTATTGAAAGAAAATTTCTTTTAAAAACAGTCCAAAGACAGATACACAAACCGAGATTTCATAGTTGCATTGTTCAAAATTGTATAAAAGAATCTAATGAATTCACCAAATGAATAGACCAAAAGCATTATAAGGAGTAGCTTGCAACACATTCATGTAAGCCTAAGTGGTGTTTAAACATACAATTAAGGTAAATGTAATCGGTTGGATGTTGTTAGACTTGACATATCAAGGAAAATGAGAAGAAGAGAAAGAAACATGCAATTACAGAAACATCAATACCTGTAGGCCTACTACAATTTTAATTAAGGTAGGAACACATTTGAAGACTGTGCAAAATTGGCAATAGTTAGTATTAGTATATAATCTGTTTAGAGCCAGAAGTTCCCTTCTGCTTCTCAACGGATGATATGATTATATTCCTCTTTAATGTATGTGGATGTAACATCCAAAAGGGTTACCTTGTGATTTACGCTGTAGTATACCAGTTGAATTATTTTAATAAGAAGCATCTTAAAACACACCTATTCACATTGTTATTAAAAACTGCATTACTTTTCCACCATATTTTTCGTTGAGTTTTAATTCATTGATTGATTTGTTTTGTAAAGTGCTTTGATCAGTTCTAAATTGGATACAGCGCGAAAAAAGAAACAATTTATTAAAAGCTGCTGAACTGAAATCCACAGTATGAACATTTAACAAGGAGTGAAAACAAATAAACAAAGATAATGTCAGCACCCTATATGCCTTTATGATGTAACTCATTGTGTTAACTCAAGCACGAAGACTGTATCATCCAATTTAACCATGATGTATGGATTGAATGTAGACTGTTTGTTTACACTAACATGCTGTATTTGACATGGTCACCATTCCTCCCCCCAGTGTGAATGCATCAATCATCCCAGGCCTTTCAAACAAACCAATATTTTCACACCCCAACCCAGAATTTATGGATATTTGTTATGTAGTTGTGAGCTGTAATTGGGGGAAGGGTTGTATGTGTATTTGAAAGTGAAGATGTGCAGACTTACTGCATGGAGATGTGTTTTTATTTAATCTAATTTTGTTCATCAATTAGTAAATGGAATACTGTATATAAGAGAAAAGTGATATGCCTTGAAAGGATTTACCTTAGGAAGTTGATACTGTTGATTACATGTAGCTTATTTTCAAATTCTACAATGTGTACTGTAAAAGCACATACATGTATACTTTTATACAATTTGGAAAACAAATAATCTCAAATTTTTGTCAGCTTGTAATGGACAATGTGTGCTTTCATTCAGATTAATTGTTAGGATATTGAATTTGACTGTCAATATCATGTATTCACATCTAAAACGATGGCTGCTTTTAGAATTTGCTAAACAATAGTCCAGTTATCAAGAAATAATTATCTCTAGCCATTTTAGTACTTGTGCTTGAATGGAATCAATCCGTATGTACATTTGCATAAGTAGCAAAAACAAATTCCAATCACCATGATACAATGGTGCTAATTTAATTTTAAAAAGAGATTTAATAACTGAGGCATAAAGACAGAATCATTTCTTTTTTCTAATACAAATTTTTCTGTATGCACATGTACTGTGTAAATAAAGTGCATTTGACAATGTCTGCATGTCCTTTCCATTATGCCTATAATGAATTAACAATAGAAAATGCAGTGTACTGGAAATTACAATCATTTTGTTATTAAGGCTTAAGCCTTTTGAAATGTATATTAGATCGCGAAAAAGCATTTCAGTTTATCAGCTTTGACAGCGTACATTCCCAATTACTATGAATTATTTTAAGATGTTTATTTTGTGTTGCCTTTTTTCTTTGATTTTTCTTAGTAAAAGTTAGCCTGCATTTGTGAGACAAAAAAAATGACCACATTTCTCTGTAATTTCGATTTTAAATCATTATCTTGCATCATTCATATTCATTCTAAATAGAACATTCTTATTGCAGGATACATGAGGCTGCTTTTTATGTTTTTTTCTGTAGTTGGAGATATTTCCAAAATGCTATATTGAGAAACTATTTTTATTCAAAACTCTCAAGAGAACAAGAACCAGGGTCACTTTTACCATGACATTTAATGCCAGAACGAAAAATGTCAGAACGAAAAAAAGATATATATCTATTCCTATAACTTGCATATTTTTGTTAATAATTGAAACATGTAGTTAACAAATAGATTACTCATACCCTTAGCAAGTTTTGTAATTTTTCAAGCATGTGAAAAATTAAGTTGTCTCAAATAATGTTTCTTGAGAATGTGACTTATTAAAGATTACATCTAAAAGTATTTAACAAGGCCCTAATTGAACCAGTCTTTCTTTCAATCTTGAGTTACAAAAACACAAAAAGCATACAATTTACAAGGAGTATCAAAAATTCAGTTGTTAACAGGTTATGATGTATTGACTAGATTTTTTTTGCAAAGTGAAGGTGCGGAATATTTTTGAAGTGTGACACTTTGTTTTTGTATGATTTATCCTCTCTAGCCTTCAAGCGCCAGCTGCTGAGCAACCCGACTCTCAAATGGCAGTATTTCAGTTCTGAGGCGGGTATCCATGCCATCTTCCCTGCCACACAGTACCTAGCTACACACAAGTATGCTGATCAGTGCTCTGTAGATGTCCGTAGCAAGTAAGTGACATGTAACTCTAGATGGTGTTCAGGAGTATCCTGAAGGGTGGAGAGGAAACTTAACTTTCAAGAGGGAAGGATAGAGAGAGAGGGAGAGAAAGAGAGAGAGAGAGAGAGAGAGAAAGAGAGAGGGGGTGGGGATGGAAGGAGATGGATGAGTTTGGAGATCAAAAAGAGAAAGGGAGGTCAGAATGATATCAGAAGAGAGATAGATTGAGAGAGAAAGAGAGAGTGAGAGAGAGAGAGAGAGAGACAGAGACAGAGGGGATGAATTCATCATGAAAGGAGATGGATGAGTTTGAGATCAAAAAAAGAAAGGGGATGAGTAGAGGTCGGATGATATCAGAAGAAAAAGAGGAGAACCTTAAAGAAGGAGAGAGAGAGAGAGAAAAGAAAGGAGGGGAGAAAGGGATGACTGTAGATAAAAGAGAGAGAGGGAGAGAGAAAAAAAACATGGAAGTATTAAAGAGGGAAAGAAGGTAAGGAAATGGGGTAGTGTGAATACAGTGGAAAGAGGTAAACTAAGAGGAGGGCTAGTAAAAGAGGGATGAAGATAGATAGAGAGAAAGAGAAAGAAGGGAAAAGTTGTTGGATTGAGGGAAGGGAAAAGAGAGAGAGAAGAAAAAAGAGAGGGGGGAGTTGGATGAATAACTATAAAAGAGAGTATTGTACTGGGAAAGAGAGAAGATGATAGATAGATGGGAAAGGAGAGTGTAAAAAATGGAAATGATGAAGAACATACTTAGAGAGAGAGAGGGAAGACAGAAAATGAGAGCAAGAGAAAGTGAGAAAAGGCAAAGGCAGTAAAATTTAGTGAGAAAGAGAAATAAAGTATGGGGCAAGTTTGCACTGATATCTGGGTTAGATGTGAATGTACCATTAGCTCCATTCTTGTGAATAAGAAATGAAGGAACTACAGATTGAGAAGGAAATATACATTGATTACGTGAGAGGAAAGATAGAAAAGGAAGTGGGGGGGGGGGGTGATAACCAAGAGACAAGGATAATAAGACAAAAATAACATGAGGCAAATTATCTATCCTGTGAAGATAGAAAAGAAGAAATAATTTCTAAGCAACTTCTCTGAGAAGTCTTACAGGCAATCCCTTTTTCAATCACTACAAACCTTGTCTCTCTTTGTGATAACCTACAAAAAACTTTACAGGAAAGGATACACTCAATGTGTGCAGCAGTGTATATGCTCATTAAATATTCATCTCAGGTGTATTGCACCTCCACCCCCACACATGTCCTATCTGTGATAGCCACAGCGCTAGATACAAGAAAACTCCTGTTTATGCCGTAGGAGTAGCATTCCTGGTGCGCGCCTCGTACCTGATGGTTTTTCCAGGCCCCCTGACGTTTTTGCTAATTTGCAGATCATTCGCTGTGTGCCCTGCTCGATCTCTTCATGCAGGGCTTAGAGTACCGTTCCCTCTGCCAACAGTCTGTCTTGTTCCTTGGTTTAAAGAACATAAAATGAAAGTATTCCTTGAAATATATTTAGGTCATGGGAGGTGCTTTCTTTTGAAAATACTGATCCATGTTTCTATGATGAATTAGTCCCCCAGAATTACCAGCACTTTTCAAAAAGCATTTATTTTTTTATCTTCTATCACTCACCTGGTTGATTATGGTAAATGTGCTTTTAAAGTCTTGGAAGTCTTATCTTCTTGAAAACTCTGTTATTCAAGGAATTTGTGTGTGTGTGTACATCCTGCAGTCTGCAAGCAGTTCAATTTTTTTGATTTTGTGGATTATAAGATGAATGAGACATTAAAGAGAAGAACCACTCTCTGTCATCTTTCAAACCTTTATCAATTACTGAACTAACCAAAAGACTTGTCCATGTGAACATATCTTGATGTTGAGCTAATCAAGCATAGTAGCAGGCTGTGTTTCCCATCAGCTACTCACACGCAAAGTAGAGATGGGGCAGTGTTGTTGAGCTTGAGCTTTTTGGGTGGAATGGTGAGAGATAAAGACATGGAGTGAAGTAGAGATGGGGCAGTGTTGTTGAGCTTGAGCTTAGATGGGTAGAAGGGAGAGAGATAAAGACAGTGGGTGAGGTAGAGACAGAGCAGTGTAGTCCAGCTTTAGGTTGGTGTAAGGGTGAGAGATAGAGACAGGGAGTGAGGTAGAGATGGGGCAGTATTGTTGAGCTTGAGCTTAGATAGGTGGAAGGGTGAGAGGAGGTAGAGACAGAGCAGTGTTGTCGAGCTTTAGGTGGGTGTAAGGGTGGGAGATAAAGACAGGGAGTGAGGTAGAGCTTAGGATGGATTGGTGGAAAGGCGAGAGGTAAAGACAGTGAGTGAGGTAGAGTTGTAGAGCTTGAGCTGGGTAGGTGGATGGATTGGAAGAGATGAACAGATAGAGGGAGGGAGAGAGAGAGAGAGAGAGAAATTAGAGTATTAATGATTAGGGTTATAGGCTTTCAGATAGATTCATGGTGCTCTAGTGATGTGTGACTTGGAGAGTTACCCAAGGGAAATGATGAGATTGACATATATATGTTGTGTGCACACACTATCAAGCTTCAATTTGAAAGAGTTAGAGGCCCGGGTGCAATTGAATATCACATTTTGTGTATTTTGTGAACACATTCCTTTTTGGGGGGGTTAAAAGAATATTTCTTGCTTACTTTTGAGAAACATATTTAACCTGCATTGTATTTATATTTACCTTTGTCCTAATACTGAAAAAAATCCTAAATATTTAAATACTGATTTTTAACAGCAAAACAATTTTTTTAAACAATTCTCCCCTTCATTTCTTTAGGACATGCCTATCAAAACTTTGATCACATTTTTCAGTAGTTTTTGATGCAATCAACATTGCTGCTGTGAATCAGAGTTATGTCGTTAAATGGCTAAAAGGCAAGATGTATTTAGATGTTGTTCATGGCTCATGTAAAATAATTCCAGATCAAAGAGAGAGATAGAGGATGGTAGTACACGATATGTTTATGAACATTTATCCAACTGTCACTTTTAACTATATTTTCTTTTGCAGGAATCTTTATGCCTCTACCGTGCAGCCGTCACCTACCAATGTAGTGATCATCATAGACCACGGATCATCTATTAGTCCTGTCTCTCTGGTCATAGCTCAGAAAGCTGCTAAGACTGCGCTAGGAGCACTCTCACGCAAAGATAGGGTAAGAATCAATGTTCTGCCTAGCTAGAAGTATGTATTCAACTGATCGCAACCAGTATCAAATGCTTAATGTTCATCATATGTCCACTCCATGAATATATATTCCAATATTAATTTTGTGTCTGATATGGTGGAAAAGTTGCTATTGTCTGTCTCCCACAGTTACATGAATCTTTCATGGGATTAGGAAGTGAATAATTGAACATTTCCGTCTTAAGTATTTTGTTGTCAAACAGTGCCCTTCCATCTTTGATAGTACTAGTTTTCATGTCAACATAGTAAGCTTTTATAGCCAAAGGCTGTTTGTGTTTTAAGAGGTTTATGAATCTACTTTGCTTTTGCTGTAGTTTTTGTGTTGATGTTTCTCCTTTGACAATCAACAGCAAGTCTACAGGAGTGCATGAAAGCTTGCCTACTAAATGTTAAGGCAGGGTAGAAGCCTAAACTACATGTTACGATGACATCAACCAATGAAACTTTCCTGTATCATTATTAGAATGGTTGTAGAAAAATGAAAAATGAGCTGTGGCTGTTAAAATTCTTGTAAAAATATGATGTTGTTTGTCTCTCTCTTGCAAAGGTTGGTGTCCTGAGCATGGGTTCTGAAGTCGTGACCAGCCAGCCAGGGAGTTGCTATGACGACATGCTGGCACCGGCCTCGGCGGAAGTCAAAGAGCATCTGATCAAGTTTATTAATGGCATCAAGGCAATGGATGGTAAGTGACTTACGCTTTGCTTCATTGGCTCTTCCTACCGTACGTACGTCTGCCCACACTTCTTGTACATGTATGTAGCTGGTGTTTCATTTCCACTTTCATATTTGGTCTTGAGCTGAGGGGTAATGTTGTTTCCCTCAGAGAGGTTTGCTTATGGGCTAGATTGATTTTTATTCAATTTGAAATGTTGTTTGTTCCATTTTGTATATTTTCCTTTACTCCCCACTTTATATCTTTTTTTCCATATTTCATTCCTCGCCATATTTTTTAAACTAACTTTTCACTTTCCTTTTTTTCCCATCTACCTTTTGATTCATTCTCTCCCACTTTCTTGCTCTCTCGCTCTATATCTCTTTTATCTCTCTCTCTCTCTCTCTCTCTGCTTCTCTCTCTCTTGCTCTCTCTCTCTCTCTCTCTCTCTCTCTATCTCTCTCTCTTTCTCTCTCTGATTAACACACACACACACACACACACACACCTGCGCACACTCTCTCGCTCTCTCTTACTGTGTTGCATAGCATGAAGTAACATGTTTAAATCGTTTTATTTCCTTGTTTGCAACAGGATTGACACAATGTGTTCACTTTTGCCATTGAATTTTCTTTCAAGGCTCAAGGCTAGTCATTTAATTAGTTGATAGGGCTTCATTTATTGAGGTAAATTTGAACTATAATGGCTTCTCAAAGAAAAATGAAAAAACAGTGTCATAGAAACCATAGAAAGTTTGTAAAGATGCATTCTAGCATTCCCAACATTATTGCAGTCATTTATTTTCAGAATTAAAACTGCATGTACATCAAGTGACTGCATACTTTCCTGGGCCCTGTTCATAAACCTTGTTATCAATACAAAATGCTAAACTTCAATGAAAAATTTGATTTCCGCCAATCAAATGCCACATTTTCAGTTACAGTTATTGCAACATGTTATTGATTACAATGTTCATGAACCAGGGCATGACAGGAACCATGTTGCATCTAAGTATCTCATTTTCATGTCTACTGCTCTCACGTTCTTTCACTACAATCTGGTCTGGATAATGATAAGCATGTTTATGTTTGCTATGTTATGAACATTCCCTCCTGCCGTCCCTTATGCCATTTGTTAAATTGGCCAGGCTCCGTGTTTCTGGGGCCTTATTTATACTGAACTCAAATATAACTCTAGGGTATTGTGAAATCAATTTTGTTTCATTTCAGAAATGTGGGCATACAAACAGGAACATTGTATCTATCCCTGGCGAGATCCCTGTATTAGAAGTTTACAGTAGATTCAATTTCTTATGTATGCCTGGAAAACAAGATGCAGCAAATGATTTACCTTTCAATTCAGAGTATTGGGAAATGTTTAAATACATTACATTGATACTGATGGAATATATATTTAATCCTTACTCTACAGTCTACAGTAGGGGGGGGGGGGGGGGTTAACCACCAAAATTCTAATACTGTCCAGTTATTTTCTTTTCCCCTATCTCTCTATCTCTTTCTGTACCTCTCCATCCTTATCACCCCTCTATCTCTCCCTCCCCTCTACCCCCCTCTCCCCCCTCTCTCTCTCTCTCCCCCTCTCTCTCCCTCCTCCCCTCTCTCTCCCTCCTCTCTCTCTGTCTCCCACCCTCCTCCTCCTCCTCCTCCTCCTTCTCTCTTTCTCTCTCTTTGTTGTAAAAGCTCCCCCCTTTTTTTTAATTCAAAACTTGGCTCAAAGAAGTTTTGATTCCATACCATGAATCAAGATGAATAATAAAAAATGTATGGTAATTTAAAACACTGTACCATGTAGATTTTAGTTGTGATGTATGTTAGTACCACAAGGGTGAATGTTCAGATCTCAGAGGACATTTCAGGAATTTACAGTACCAGTATCTTTCTTTTATGGAAATAGTGTTTCTCTTCTCTTTACATTAAATTATTTTTAAATTACATGTACCTATAGTTGAGGAGAACATTCAAACAGTTAAATACATGTATAACAAAACATTTCACATGATCTCCACACGTTCCAACATTTGAAACATTTGATTCCTCGGCACATCTTCACTCTTCAGTGATTTGGTATGACACATCATTGAAAATCAATGCAGTGAGGCCTTCTATATGTACTGGACCATGAGAGCTAATCACTTTGAGATAGAATCAGAGAGAGAGAGGGAGAGAGAGAGAGAGAGAGAGAGTGACACAGAGAGAGAGAGAGAGAGGGGGTGGGTGGGGAGGGGGGGGGGTTGTAATGAGGGAGTTGTCTTCTTCTAGCAATATGACTCATTTTATTTATTTATTTATTCATTCATGTATATTTCACTAGGGTAGCCCATTCAAGAAAAGTTGGTCTTCCATGAGGCCCTGAAAATATTCTACCGTAATTTATACATCAATAGGGCCATTTACACTGGCAACCAAACATGCCAAAAGATGCCAAACCAGGGCCTGAATGCAATCTTTCAGTGAAAGTTGCTAGGCAACTAGGCCAAAACGGATGAGCATTTCATACCAAAATGCGCCAAAATATCACTGAGCTTTTCCATTCAATGATGTTTCAGTGCAAGTGTAAACGATAGCGCAAAAAATTTAATGAGGTTTTTTGACAACTTATAAAAAGTCTCATTTTGATGATTTTTCTTTGCAGGTCCTTCAAACCACACATCAGCTCTGAGAACGGCATTAGATCTGATTCAGAGAACAACCTCTCCTATGCCACTCAATCAATCTAAACCAGGTTAGTTTTACATTATGGTACTCAGGATTTGATTTTCATGCATTTGGAGATGGGAATCAAATGCGCTATAAAAGAACAACTTATTATATATTATTATTATTATTATATTGCAATATTTGTCTATGTCAATGAACAGTATCGTTGGAGATACCAAGAATGTGTACATTCTCATTTTTGTTCATCACATTTTCATATTAATGATATTAATGATATTAATGATATTAATAATATTGAATATTTAGGATTGCTGAAAATTAAAAGTACCTCATTCTTACAAAATCTAAGAATATAAAGAGAAACATGAAACATAAAACTCAAAAGATATGATATAAATAATATTACGTTCCTCAGGAAAGAACTATGTTTTAAGGGATCTTTTCAAAGATATATTGTTCCATGTTTTCGAGGAGCCACTGTAAAATCCTTTGGGTAGATGAGTGACTTGATTTAGGAATAATTAGTTTACATCACATGATGATTGTCATTTTCATATCATGATCATCATTAAATTTATTATACAAAAAGCATTGTATGTTGATTAGTATTGTGCATTTATTATAACATAACATGAAATAATGCCTTTGATGTCGTAGGTTAATGTATGTGTACATGTACCGTGTATTGTGATATATGTTCATGAATTCTATGCTCTTTGTCATGTCTTCATCTCTCCTTTCCAGATTCAGTAATCCTGTACATCAGTACAGGCCATGCGAGTAACCAGGATGAAGTGAAAACCGCCATCAACATAGCCATCTCTGAGAACAGAAGACTTAATAACAGAGTAGCCATCATGACTTATGCTTTAGTAGAAGGTAGGAAACATTACGCATTTCAGAATTTTAAGTCGTTTTACAAAAATATCCTCCAATACTATTACTTTTCAAATTTTGTATTATACATATTCTCTTGTTTTTCAATTGTTTGTAACTGCATTATACATGTACAGTGATGGACACATGCTTTGTTTTCTCAAGTTAAATGAAAATTAGTGACATTTTTGCTCCCTCCCCCCAAAAGAAAAAAGTTGCAAATAAGTAAAGAATTTGCAGAAACTGTTTAATATTTTATAATTTGCCTTGAATTATCTCCGGTCTGTCCTGCATCTGAACAAGAATGCTCCTTAGTTGGGTATGCACGGTGAGTGCAGAATTATAATTGAATCCACTGACAAGGATAACAATACATTTTACAGAAATTTGATCAGTTCTTGTAACTCTGTTAAGGCTTGTTCAGATATGGTTAACAACCTTAAAAACAGCTAAGAAAAAAAGCTGCCGTTTGTTTTGTAACATGTAAATGAATGACAACTGTGCGCTGGGCATATTCACTGAGCTCTGTGTATTAAATAAGATACAGAAATGTTATGCATATTACACTGTCATAAAATACTGGTGCGTTTTTGCCATGTCATGTGAATGAGGCCGAAATGGCAATAATCTATATCATTAAATGTTGTCATTATAACCTTATCTTTATCTGTGTTGCATGAACAGAGGGTAGAACTGGTCTTGAGGAGCTAGCCTTCTTACGTGACCTAGCTGAGCAGGACAATGGGACGTACCGAGCTGTAGCTACTGATTCTGATCTCCCGCCTGTACAGGTTAGCATGTGGAGATATCATCACGTAGACGTGTCATATCCAAGTGACTTAAACACGGCGCTAGTGTAGTTTCGTATCCATTTTTTAGCAGTTTCATATCCATTCTTAGCAAAGGAATTTTAGCCCAATTTTTTTACTTATTTGAATAGTAATCATATATTGCATTTTCCACCTGAATTTGGATCACATCCGACATCGGGAAGCCTCCGTTCAGGGCTTCGATGTCGACATCGTCGCTCAGTACCGTCTCCGCGCTATAGCTTTGCAACTCAAACTGAAGCTATCAGTCTAAATTTATGCAAGCTTCTCGTATAGTTTATGGTATCGTGCATGTGCGTAATACCATGAGGCATACGCGAAGTTTGCATAATTTTAGACTGATAGCTTCAGTTTGAGGTGCAGAGCTGTAGCGCAGAGACGGTACTGAGCGACGATGTCGACATCGAAGCCCTAAACGGAGGCTTCCTGATGTTGGATGTGATCCAAATTCAGGTGGAAAATGCAATATATGATTGTGATTAAAATTAGTAAAAAAATTGGGCTAAAATTCTTTTGCTAAGAATCGATATAAAACTGGTAAAAAAACTGCTTAAAAAAATGGATACGGAACTACACTAGCGCCTTAAACACTTGGCTGAAGATGAGAAGGTCCTGGCTTCCAGCTCTAGCACAGCACTACTGACTAGTGTCCTTTGGCAAGATATCAATCTGCATTTGACACTCTTCACCAAGGTGTTGAGTGGGTAGCAGTAGGAATTAATTCCTTGCTGCGACACTGAAATCTGTAGCCTAGTTAGAGCAATAGTAATAGAGCACATTGGGCTGTTGATATAAGCGCTACAATCCATCCATTTTGTTTGTTATTATGTTTATCATCAATAAGAAACAAAATCCAAAAATTAACAGGATATTCAAGATTTTTATTGAAATGATGAGCCTCTTGACATTTTGAGAGAGTGTGGAAGCTTTTCTCTTTGTTGTTCTTCATCAGTGATTTACAGGAATGGTTTGGAAAAAGTATCTTGGACATATTGTATGATTGTAAATGCTTGTTTCCCTACACTTAAATTTACCATCTATGCCATATGTGGCATAACTGTCTTAGGGAGATCAGTAAACATTTAGTTCCTGGCCATTCCCATTAAATTAGCACACTTAAGCACAGACTCTAATAATCGACCCATTTGTGCACAGACACAATAGAGGATTTACATGTAGCACCCATTTGTACACAGACACAGTATAGGATTTAGCACCCATTTGTACACAGACACAATATAGGATTTAGCACCCATTCATCACCTCTCTCTCTCTCTCTCTCTCTCTCTCTCTCTCTCTCTCTCTCTTCTCTCTCACTGTAATCCTAATATTGGGACTTGGCTTTCTTATGATGGATTAACATGGGGTCGCACAATGGGTGATGTAATAATAGCTTTGAAGAAGTCCATGGACAGCTTTGGTATTCTTAAACAGGGCTCTTTGTCCTGTAGTCTTTTGGGGGGTTCCATTCTGAAGTTTGATGAAAGAGCTGCTTAGTTCATGCCCCTGGACAGTGTTGGTATTGTAGAACAGGGTCATGTGTTGTAGTCTTTCTACAAACTGAAGTGTAACAGAATTAACTTGCAGCTCAAATCCTTACATGCACCAAGAAGCATTTCCCTGAAGCACTGTTCTTCTGTCAAAGAAGCATATTATCCTGTACCTTTCTCCATTTAAATGACTAAAAATGATACCCCCTTCACCCTTGCTATATTGCAGGGTTAGAGATTTCTCTCCTTTATTTTGATTAGACCATCTGAATGAATAGAACGACTAACGGTACTTGGTCTGATAATTTATGATTGCACATAGAGGTGGCACACTTCAGAATATTGATGCATGTACAGGCATTCCACACACTGTTAGAACAGTCTTCATTCTCTTTTTCATAAATTCCTAAATTGCTTCTATAATTTAGTATAACTTAAGCCAAAACACTGCTCTTGATTGCAAAAATCATGTGTTCTTCAGGTTTCTTATACATCACTGACAGCTTCAGGTGTCTGGTCTGGTTTGTACAGCCAGGCTGAAGGTGCATCTGAATCTACTGACCTTTATTCTTACTGGTTCTAATTTCAGATTGGTATGATGACGGTACTAAACCAGCTAAGCCATCTAGAATCGACTGTAGGAACATTCTATACAGTATTACCCCAGGAACCTACACAAGCACCTGTATCCTTCTCTCTACCTTACATGGATTATACTGGTTCAGGTTAGTTCTTATCTACATATATAGTTAACAACTAAATCATTCATACCCTTACCAACTTTTGTAATTTTTTTTAAGTATGTGAAAAATGGATTTGTCCCAGTAGATGTTTCTTGATAATGTTGTTATCATTTTTTTTAAATACATTTTTTTTTTATTTGTTACGTTCATGAAAAAATAATAAATCCCAAAATGTTGTTTTGTTTGACCTGTCGACAGTTCTTTCAAGACTTGTAACATGCTATGATTTGTCTCTTTGTCTTCTCCTGCAGGTTTGATAATGAGTCTGACCAGGCCATGCTATGCTAATGATCAGGTGCTGGGTATCGTTGGTCTGGATATGAACATGGCTGACATCTTAGAAGATGTGACATACTTTGAGGAGGGGGATCGCTCCTATGCATTCTTGATTGATAACCAAGGTAAGCTTGCAGAAAGAAGCCCTGTCCGGTTTCAACTTACAGTCAAACCTGTCTATTAAGGTCACCCAAGGCAGACATAAATGGTGGCCGCTGTAGGCAAGTGGTCTTTCTACACAGGTTCTACAACTCACATTTCTTTCTTGAGGGAGACAAAAAAATGGCCACTATGTACAGGTGGCCTTTATACAGAGGTGGCCACTAAGACAGCTTTGATATATTAGAGTATACTATAGACACTAACAATTTGCCCTGATATATGTGTTTTCCAGTGAGGCAGTAAACTTGATTTTGTTGTTCTTCTAGTGGAAAATTATTAATTTGAGCAGTACGTGTGTGCTTGAAAGTGTCGTTAAATGTGAGTTGTTCGTTAGTATGAAATGCAATTTATATTTGGTCAGATTTTATGCATGTTCTACCATGATGTATATGTAATGTAGGTAGAATTATAGAAGTTAGTAATTAGTACCACTATGTATTATTTATGTAATTTCTCTATCCTCTTGTGTTTGAATACAGGCCTTGCCATTATGCATCCATCGTTACCGAAGCCCTGGCTAGTCACTGAACAGCCAATCTTTACTAGTATCAAGCATTTTGAACAGTCTGTTGGATTTGATAAGCTGCAAGAAGTCATGCTCAGGTGAGTCAAAATAGCATATATATACCGGTAATATTTTCTGCCATTTATATCTTTACCGATATCAGAATACCTAAAATATTTTTCTTCAGAACCAATCTCACAAGAATATTGAGAGTTTCGTCTGATTCGGAATGTCAGGTACACACAACTGCTTGTTACACAATACTTTCTGAGGTTTATTTCTCAAATCTTGTTTTTAGACATTATAAATAGTGATAATGGTAAACTGGATCTATGTAGCACTTCATACCAGCACTACTATATGTCTCATTAGTGCTTCTCAGATATATCACTGCGTAACCCTTGTCATCAGATTGAGGATCGCACCACATACATTTGTTGGCCATGTAATTTGAATTATTCTAACAGTTCCTACACTGAATTCTTCCAATACTTCTATAATAAACATATTATATACTTATATCTTAAACATAAACTTCACTGGACTGTGGATCACATGGTTCATGTTTTGAGTCCCACTGCCATACTAATGTCCTTTGGCAAGACATTAATCTGCATTTGCCACTCTCAAGTAAATAAGTTCCCAATAGGAAGGAATTCCTTCCATGCTTTAGCACCTTATTATGGCAGCTCAGCTGCAGTGATAACATGATACTTTTTATTAAACGCAGTAGAGTATATTCATATAGTAGCTGCGCTATATAAATTAACCTATCATTATTAAATGACTCTTAATCTTTCCAGAGAGAAGACAGGAAGTGCCGTCCTGCCCATCACAGAGAACTGTACAACACAAGCCAAGTACTCATGGAAACATGTAAGTAGAATGGGGATCCGTTGCTGCTATGTGAGGATTTTAGATTTATATGTGTTTGTGCCTGTAAACAAAGTAAGGTTATAGTAATAGTAAGCCTTGAAAAAATTGTCATGCAGACAAAAGTTCATTATCAAAAAGCAAAGTCTTACCTTTATGAATATTATAGTCTACATTAACTGTATTATAACATGTACATATTCATGTTGGTTTATCAATCTGGTTTTGTAATTATCTCCTTCCTTCAGTATCTGTCTCAGAATGTTGCAAATATGTCAGTCTTGGCTCTATATTGACTTATTGTTATTAATCTGTTAATTTTTATTTTGATTCTTTTGATCAGATTGAGGGAACTCCATTCACAGTCTGTACTGTTTTCTTATCACAATACAAAGACCTACTCAACCTCAGACATACTAATGGTAAGTAGTGCATCAAAGAAGTGATCCTGTATCATACTGGATGCACATTAAGATACAGTGGTGGTCCTTCATTTTCCTCGAGGATGATAAAATTTTGCCGTTAATTTTTATGCAACAGAATTTATAATAAACATACTCAAGTTCATGCTCTTTAATAGAAAGACTGTTTTACAATATCATGTACATGGACAAATATACATGTAGGTGACTTGTGAATGCTATTGAGAAAGGGTTAGGTAGAAAAATAAATGTTACTAGCAATTTCAAGAGCCTTCAATATTTTATATGTGGTTTATGTATGACATTGCTAATTCTCAATGATGCATATCTCTCCTTTGTAAGGTTCAATCTTTGGAGCATGAGATTGTAATGCTTCATGCATAGTCATTTATTTCAATATTTTTTCTTTTTTTCTAAACAGTGCCCTCTGGAGATAGTCTGATGTACCATAGATTAGATCTGCTGCCCTCTACCAACATGTGCATGCATCTCAAGCAGCTCTCCACGATGGGTAAGTTTACAAGCCTCTTGGGATTTTTTTTCTGGCAACTATGTGCTTATATTGCCATAAAATGACAGGTTTAATCGGTACTGGCATCTGAATTTATCATTCATTGCTGTATAAAATTGCAACCGCAAAATAAAACACCACTATTTACTTTATCCAAATTATGGTGCCCAGTGACATGTCATTTTACCTTTTTCATTATCTTGATTTTTCTTTACATAATTCTCAATTTTGAAAAATAAGCAATCTAAATTTAAAACTTTGTGACTGAGGTACTGTTACATGTTTTAAGAAAAATTTCAAGTCATTTGTTCTAAGATAGAATTGCAGGTAGATGTCAGAATCTAAACCTAACCTTGTTCCTACATCTCATGTGTATTTTTTATTTCTTAAGTGTAAATTTAGTAAGATAATTACATGTAGCTTTTCCTAACATCACTTCTGTATGTTTTCGTTTGTAGATGGTAGTAGTCTACTTCTATCTGCAGGGAGCTTTGCCTCTCCCTATGAACACCTGAGTCAAGAGGAAACCAAGCTAGTCGTCCAGGCCTATGTGGCTTACCTCAGTGATAACACCAGACTCATTGCTAACCCTGGTCTAAAGGTAAGGAAGATGCAATCCACCTGGGGGGCGTTTCACAGAACTTGTCATCAGTCACAAATGACAGTTTTTGTTATAAGCTACTGATATCCTTGCTTCTGATTGGTCATCAGCAAATTAGTCACTGATTTTTGTAGTTTGTCATTGAAAAAAGGCTTTGTGAAAAGTTCTCAATCACCTCTTTGTAGAGTACATTGCCCTATTGGAAAGCAGTGCTGTGATGGCCACAGAGATATCTGTTAGAATAAGATGTACATGTTGAACATTGCAGGTTGGTGAGTTTGTAATAGATAACTAGAAACCAGTCTGAGCCATTATACCTTTTTATTGAAACGTTCTCTGGCTGTGCAGGTATTGCTGTCATATTATTCATGATGTATGTGGGGGGTTGAGTTTGGAAAATGAAATGTATCCTCATTCTCTACACTGCATCCAACCCATATCCATTTCAATCATTTTCACAAGTTAAAATGTGCATTGGAAGTGGGATATTACTGGTGTATGACGTCCATCTATGCTACTTCGTCCAAATATCATGTACACACACTTATTAAATTAAAGAATATAATACACGATGTACCTGTAGACATTCCATTATGCAGTAGGCATACAACATACATGTACATGTTTTTATAAAAAAGCAAAAGAAGGATTACCTGATAGTAGTAAAAGCAAGACTCTTGAAAATTGATCTACTTTCCATATAAATGATAACTGATAGACATACACTGTACGACATCTAACAAGGTATTCTGAAAGTCACCCTTCTTTTCTGATCTTATCATTACAGCCAACAATAAAGAATGATGTAGCAGCAACCAGAGCCATTGAGAAGACCTGGCTCAAACAAATCCTCAAGAGTGACATCAATGAATTCATCATTAGAAGGTAAGTCTGGATGTGATGTGTGCATGCTCTTGGAGTGCATTCACAAAGCAGTGCATTTATATCATTCTCCTTTTAGTTTTAGACACCTGTGCATTTTAGATATGAGACAAATAGTGTGTTTCAAACCAGGCTATGTATAAATATATCACTAGGAGAATTTATGTTGTTGTAAAGATGATGGCAATTTCTATAAAACATTTGCTCTTGATGAACTGGAAACATGTGGGTCTAATTTTCTTAGTAGCTTCTTTTCTCTGAAACCACCTTTAGAGATGGAAGTGAAGAGATACGTAATATTGTACTCAACTTTTTTGCATGTTTATAAAGTGTCAATGTATTATGATTATTTATATTTATATATGTATGAAACATACACCATTTAACTCTTATTTTACAGGTACGTTGCTACTACTAGTGGTGCTGTATGGATCTATCCTGGGACATTGATGCCTAAGACCTTTGACCCTGCAAGAAGACCCTGGTGAGTTCATCTGCAATCAAACCTTTCCAGCCACCGTGCTTGGATTGGAGTTATTGTAATAATGTAGTTGAGAAAAGAGAAAAGACAGACATATATTACAACCAAAAAAAAAAATGTGGGAGTGAAAGTAAAGAGCTCTTTAACTTCATGAAATATTTGGCTGAATGAATCCATGAACTATAATATTTATACGTTAACTTTCCTGTGACTGGCTTCGATACTTTTGAAAAATTCTTTTGTTAGTGTGAGTATACATTGCAGGAAATTCCTTGATTGCCATTATCGATTATTCTATTTTCATATTTAAAATGCAATAATTCTGTTTCTTTTCACAGGTATAAGAGAGCCCTTGAAAACCCAGGTCGAATCACGCTATCCTCTCCCTATCTGGACAATGGGGGCGCTGGTTACATTGTCACACTCAGTAGAGTCATCTTTGAAGGAAGGTGGGTCATTAAATATCTTCCTCTTTATACCTGTAATTTTGACAATTCTATTATAGAAGTTCTGCACTGAGCTTCATGACATCAATGCATCAATCAACTTGTAATTCATCACACCTTTACAGTTTGTCAGTGTATGTTTCATCCAGGTTGTAACATCACAGATATTTCCGTTTAACCGCTAGTCAAAAGCGGACGGTTTTCGGTTAAACTATTTTTACTTTTTTTTTTTTTGTATTGGAAAATTAAAAGAAATCACAATATTTACAAATAATTTACATAATTAGAAACAAAATCACTGAACAAAACATGAGATTTTACTGTCAGGCATGCTTTGGAACAATGACTGGGTCATCCTAGTACTGATAACTTGCCAAAATGTTTTACAAAGGGACTTTCTGATGTATCAGTTATTTTATATGTTTGACTTCTTAACTTTACATTATTTCTGGAGCACTACAACAACAACTTTGTTGCTAAATATATTACTCATAGCGATATTATTTTCAACAACATGTTTGTATCTTACCACTCAGGTCCAGTGGCTACCACACTGAGACAGACCATGTTGTAGCAGTGATGGGTATTGATATCACTCTGCCATACTTCTATCAGCTCCTAGTGGATACCTTGCCAGTCTGTGAAGAGGAACATATCAGGTAAACAACTCACAATGATAATAGTAAACATTTAGAAATTGCAGACACTACGCAAATGTATTCTACTGTGCTGCAAGAGCTCTTGATGTGCTTTGAATCTATGACATAATGTCAAATGAAAACATGTGCTTTTAGTTTTGAATTAAAAGCATTTAATCGATGATGATTTCATAATTTCTTACGTTAAGTTATTCCATAGTTTCGGGCCTGAGCATGCACGATCTCCCAAAGACTTAGGAGTGTGTGTATGCTATGCACATGTGCAACTCATCCATGTTTATGAATTAAGAGCACATCTCTTAGTGTAATATCATTTATTATATCATTATGTGTGCACTTCATCAAACCAATAAGCAGTTAACAATTCAGCCCATGTGTATGACTTTTGAACTCATATCTAAACAGACAAGTTTCCAATTACTAGATTAAAAATGCATATCTACTTGTACATTCCAAATACCAATTCCAACTAAAAAGTCCTGTTGCTTACAATCCAGGTCCTAAAGTTACCATTTAAAATAAGGGAAGTCCTTAGAAAATCATAAGAATCAGTTCTAAGCTGCCATGCTCATTACATAGGATAGAGATACAGCTTGCATTGTGTGATTACTGTTGTCAGAGATTTGAATTTGTATACCTATAGATTGTACATGTAAGTGTAGGAGCCTATCTGATCACCATGCATTGTTTTTCTTTTGGTTTATTTCAGATGTTTTGTCATGGATGAGAGGGGATACCTGGTAGCACATCCTTATTTCATTGAGCCCTTAGGCAGAGGACCTATGGAGAAACAACATATAACACATCAGGTCAGTACGAAAGATCAACTTGAAATTTTACGATTAACAAGAAAAATGTTTCTTGGAGCAGTTGAAGAATTAGAGGAAGTGTACATATTTGGGAAGTTCATTGCTGCAGGGTTTCATTTTGTAATTTTAAGTTGGAATTAGGCACCATGTCTTGAAACCTTTGTGATTGTATGTCTGCATGAATCATTTTCAACCTGTCATCATCTCTCTTTGAATACTCACTTTTGATTATCATACAGGAAAATCAATCTTTAGTGAAGTTTTTGTAAATTTGGGATGTGCACATTATCAAAAGGTTATGAAAAATATAATTGCTGATGAACAACCACTTTTTATCTTCCACCCAAACAGGAGATACTGATATCCAACGATGTCCTGTACCACACTGAGTTTGTCCAGAAGCTACGTTGCAACCGCTTCGGTAACCGCACCGTCCAACGCTACTACTCCTTCAACAGCAGCTACCAGGATGGTGTAGTAGCTAATAAGTTCCACAGCGAGCATTGTATCCAGTACAAGATGACCCCCGTGCCGTACAGTAATACCTTTGTGGGCGTGGTCAATGAAACATGTGACTTTGTGACTGCTTTCTGCCCTTGTAGCATGGTAAGGATTTATTTGATCACTTACAGCAACCACATGGGGAAGACATGTCACTAAACCAAAACATTACTCAACTCTTGATTGGACAAAGTGGCATATATTAATTTCTTTGCTGTATTGAAGCTAAATGACAGCAATTCTTCAAATCTATCTAAATGTATAAAATATAAGGATTGATGAATGTTGGAAGTATCTTCATCAGATGTTTAGAATATAAGTTATGTAATACAGATAGTACCATTCAACAGAGTGTTTTCTCTCATTAAACAGTTTAATATTTGTAGGAGACTTTGTGCAATGATATGATAATAAACCCCCAAATACCTGAGACTACAAAGAATGTACAAGTTGTGAGCAAGTCCAAAAAAAAGAAAAAAAGGTTAAAATAACCCATATTTACAAGATGCCCTCTGCACCACACATCCATCTACTTTGGAAGCATTTTATACCACAATCATAAGGACAGATAGCCACTAGCTTATTTCTCATACACCCTTCAATAATAGTTCCATTCTCATTATCACTTCTTTACAGACTGACAGACTTTGTTTGAACTGTCATCGTATGGAGCAGGAAGAATGTGAATGTCCATGTGAATGTGCCCTTGATCTGGATGCTTGTACAGGAGACATCCTCAATAGAGATGATGATAGGTAAGATTGCCATTCACTTGGGTAGTAATGATGGGGACAGTGATGACATGAGTGATACTGGCTTCTTTTGTTGTTGCTCAAATCCATGAAATTGTGATGTTTCTGGCTCTCTAAAATTACACTGGTTCTAGCCTGGCTTGTATTTTCATTGCATAAAACTGAAAGAAATATTTACATAGAGAGAGAGAGGGGGAAGGAGAAGGAGAAGGAGAGAGAGAGAGGTAGAAGAGAGAGATAGGAGGAGAATGAGAGAGAGAGAGAGAGAGAGAGAGAGAGAGAGAGAAATAGAGAGAGATTGTCTGGTGATGATTTGAGCTTGTTTCTTTGTAATAAATAATAAATACTGAGTAGACATAAAACTGAGCTGTAATAATGATGCTGTTGATGTAAACACAGATATTCAGGATCACTACCTTGTTCATGATGTGGACAGTTCCATATTTTGATGAGATATATATATATATATATATATATATATATATATATATATATATATACTTTCCCATGTCTAACTTTCATTTATCTCTACTCCTTTTATTTTGCCAGTAACCCAAGTTGTCCTGGAATGGAAGAGAACACAGGATTACCTAAACTTGATGAAGACATGACCAAAGATCTCCCTCAATGTCTGGACTTTCAGTGTGGGCTGAGAACCGCTGTTGGGTAAGTCAGGTTTCTTTTAAAATGTCATGTACAGTTTTCATAAGCCCTCACAAAAACAAAACAAAAAATACCCCCAAAAATACCCCCCCCCCCCTCAAAAAAATAAATAAATAAATAAATAAATCTTTGTGATGTAAAAAAAAATAGAAAGATATCAGCAATACTAAGCTGCTGTGAAGTTTTTTTCTTCTCAGGTGAAATATTAAACTAATGAGAAGTATAAAACTATACCATTCTGGGATGTAGGTTTTACCAACAGCAACCTTCACTTGGTAAAACCTATAAAGACCATGTGTATACGCTATAGTCTACACACACTGCAGCTAAGCTAAGCTCTGAGGTCAATGTGTCCAGAGGGATTGGGGTGGAAGGGTTCCTAGTGTAGGATATTATTGTAAAGAGAAATATAACCGGCAGTCTTCATAGTCAGGTGCAGAGCTGCCAACCATTCCTATTTTGGAGGACTGATTCATCTTTTGTTGTGCCTTCAAACTAAAATCAAGGACCCAAGGTTCCCCTCTCAATCTGAAAATACTGTATTTCCAATTTTGCACTGAGAGATTCCTTATTTCTGCTTAATAAAGCTGGCAGATATGCAGGTGGTCTTTCTACACAGGTCAGTGAAGCAGGCTTCGTAACATTCTCAGTTCAGTCAGAGAAAGGAATCATAGTTTCCTCCGCTTTTTTCCATGACAGGACATGCCGTGGTGTGCTAGATTGTGAATGGTGTCAGTACGGCCAAGATGGGAGCACACTACTCAAAGATCCATACTGTGCTACACAAAGGGAATGCTTTGGAGGAGTGCTGGGTGCTGTCACGCCGTATGGTGATCACATAGGTAAGTGGCCAAGGTCAGCCAACATTGACTCTGGCAACATTTGTTTAAAGCCTGTCTGCACTTGTTAGGCCAGGAGGGACTAGATCTCCCTGCGGGGTCATTGACAGGTGGTTATCTCAGTAACTCAGCTCTCAATTAACATAAGGAAAAGAGAATCATGGGGGACCAACGGGTACCGCTTAGGCATTGTTTGCTTTAAAAAGGGTGCAAGTAGCTACAAGTAGTGCAGTCCCGCTTTAAAGGTCACAACTTCGGTTGTCAATGGGTTTAGTTTTAAAATGAGATATTGTATTTGGTTGAAGTTTAGAAAATTGATTCTTTGAAATTGAATCCAGTGCACATTATTTCAGGGTATTTGTTATAAAGTGGACCGGACGTCAGCAGTTCTGATCCCCATATAAAAAATACACTAAAGAAAAGAAATCATACAGTTCTGGATCTTCTATTGCGGAATTCACAGTTCCCAACATTCATATCCTTCATGCAAATGTGAAAGACACAATGAAGATTCTACAATTGTATCATATGTAGCTATTGACAAATGTTTCTACAGCGCCTGTACATTATACAAAGGGTTTCAGTCTGTTCCTTCACTTCCTACAACCTTCACTGTCACCATTTGGTTGCTGTACAAATTTTGTAGATCTCAGTGAAATTATAATGGACCAATGTCTGTTTGAGCTGTGTGCATTGTCCTTGTGATATGTCTTCAGCAACAGCGCCGTAACTCTGATTTTGCTCACTATCTAGTGGTTGCACGTCGCTCCTACACCTTTGAGACCAGTGCCAACGCCCATGTTGGCCCCGTGGCTGGTGCCCTCCTTGCCGTCATCCTCTCCTTAGCCCTCGTCATCTACATCTACCGTCATCACGTTCACAACCAGGAGAGGCGGAGACGTGAGATGGCTCAGCAGGGATCGGATACCTCCGTCAGGATGACACAAGGGGATGGAGATGGGGGTGATGGGATGGAGGTGGATGCTGGAGCTGGAGGGAGCAATGCACCTGATAACCAGCCTCCACCAGGAGCATGTGAGTTAGCATTTCATTCTTTCTCTGATTGTCTATCATACTTTCCGCCAAGATAAAGTCAAACCTGTCTATAGTGACTGCCCAAGGGAAACACAAAAAGCGGTCTTTATAGACAGGTTCCTTCGGAAAATGTTTAAATGAGAAACCATTTTCAAGGGAAACAAAACATGTACTGTTGTAGAAAGGTGGTCACTAAAACAGGTTTGACTGTACATAGTTTTGTGCTCTGTGGCAGATGGGGTAAAAATTGAACCTTCTGTACTGGGACTACAAGTGTGTTTTAGTGTCATACAATACAGTGGAGTACTGGAAGGTCATTGATATGTAGGAATCTTATCACCAAGATCCTGTCTGTGTAGTAAAGTTATTTTCTCATGACAAAGTAAATTAGATGGAGTCATAATAATCTGTATGGAATTATGTTTACATTGCAGTTAAAGAAATGTGTCTCTTAGAAATCAGAGTATTTTGATCAACGTGTAGCAGGAGCTTTTGCATTTCATCATTTTTTGTTATTGCTCAAGTGTGCCTCAAGTGAATTTGGCACCAAGAAAATCCCATTATTATTGTTACTTCTGAATTTTTCTCCCAGAAATAAATGTATTTAACCCTTACTGTACTGGGGGGGGGGGGGGGGGGGGGGGGGGCCTGGGAGGCCCCCCCTCGACATTTTCGGAGATCGCGCCGCAATCGCTCGGAATTTCGAATTGTCGTTTCATGACTTTTTTCCCTCAAGTCTTACGCACATTTTGATACCATTTTCGTCGAAATCGGATATACCTGTAAGGTGTTACATAACAATTAGTATGCGCATGTCATCAAAAAAGTGCTATAATTGCATATATTCATGTACAAGCAGAAATGTGAAGATATGAATTGATATCAAATTGCTTTTATATGTTTCTCAAAGTAACTTGATGTATTTCAGAACAAAAGAATACATTAGAAATAAAACAATAGATATAATAAGAAAAAAAAAAACGATGAAATACATAAGAAAATAAATAGTTGAAAATCGCATCAAATTTGCATAAATTATCATTATTAATTACATCAAATAACTATTTTGTGTTAGAAAAGAAGTTTCATATGAATAATGAGTTTCAACATTACAAAAGTGGAGTCTGACAATTTTTGTAATGATTCTAGTTCCCTGTTTATTTCCAGATTTTAAATTAATGAATGCGTAATTTGCATATTCATAATTTATGCAAATTAACCTATGCATTTTCAAATATCTTAAAAATAATGAAACCTCATGAATTTGAGATGAAGGAAATATTTATTCAATACATTTTCAAGATTCTTCACAAGTCTACGGACAAATATGTAGAGTTTTCTGTAAAATGCATAAAATTAGCATTTTGCATAATTAATTAGGCTATAACGACAAAAATTTGCAAATTAGGAAAAAACTAATTATACCATCTTGTTCCTTACGTAAATATCTACAAACATGCAAATTTTCGCGTTCATCGGACATTCGACGGCCGAGATCATAGGGGGGGGGGGCCTCCCAGGCCCCCCCCCCCCCCCCCCAGTCAGAGAGGGCTTTCATCGAAAGGGTGCGGTGCGGTGCGGCGCGGTGTGGTGTGCTCAACGCACCCATTCGATAAAAGAGGGGGCCTTTTCTCGAAAGGGTGCGTTGAGAGCGGAGTACCGTTTTAACACACCCTTTCGATGAAAGCGGGGGGGCTTTTCTCGAAAGGGTGCGTCGACTAGTCTTTCGCATCAGTCGTTTAAAATGAGGATCTCGGACAGAAGGTAATAGTTGCCAATTATAAAATGGAATGGTCTTGATTACAGAGTGGTCTCTTTGATGGGGGAGACAGAGAGAAGGAAAAAAGGGAAAGGGAAAGGGAAGATAAAAGGAAAGAAAGAAGAATAAGAAGAGAAGAGGGAAACGGGGGGGGCGAAGGACTCTTGCCCCCCCCCCGCCAAAAAATAAATCAGAGAGAGAGAGAAGGGAAGGGAAAGGGAAAGAGAAGATAAAAGGAAAGAAAGAAAAGAATAAGAAGTAAAGAGGGAAACGGGGGCGAAGGGCTGTTGCCTCCTCCCCCCCCCCCCCGGCAAAAAATAAATAAGAGAGAGAGAGAGAGAGAGAGAAGGGAAAGAGAAGATAAAAGGAAAGGAAAAAGAGGGAAACGGGGGCGAAGGGCTCTTGCCCCCCCCCCCCCCGCCAAAAAAAAATTAAAAAAGAGAGAGAGAGAGAGAGAGAGAGAAGGGAAAGGGAAAGGGAAAGAGGAAAGGAATATAAAAGGAAAAAAAGAAGAAGAAGAAGGAAAGAGGGAAACGGGGGAAGGGCGAAAGGCTCTTACCCCCCCCCCTCCCGCCAAAAAAAAAAATAAGAGAGGGAGAGAGAAGGGAGAGGGAAAGAAAATATAAAAGGAAAGAAAGAAGAGGAAAAAGAATAAGAAAAGTGGGAAACGGGGGCGAAGGGCTCTTGCCTCCTCCCTCCCCTCCCCCCCCCCCCCCGCCAAAAAATAAATAAGAGAGAGAGAGAGACGGAAAGGGAAAGAGAAGATAAAAGGAAAGAAAGAAGAGGAAGAAGAAGAAAAGAGGGTAACGGGGGCAAAGGGCTCTTGCCTCCTTTCTTTCCTATTCTCCCTCTTTTTCGTTTTTCTCTTTCTTTCTTTTCTTTCTTCTCTTTTCTTTCCTTTCTTTTCTTTTTTTCTTTTCTTTTCTTTTTTTCTTTTCTTTCCCTTTTACTCTCTTTTTTCCCCTCCCCCTTTTCTCTTTTTTCCCGACGGCAGCGCAATTTTACCGACAATATCCTGACAGGTGGGGGGGGGGGTGTCGCACCCCCACACCCCCCTTTGGAGACGCCCCTGCCTACGCCACTGTTGGCGACCACAAGGCTATCAATACAAATTAAGACATATTAATGAAGATTCTTTTTTAATGTTGCAGAGAGATAAGTATTTTCTCTATGAACTTGTTTAATGGACAATAAATAATATTAAAAACATGAATACTATAGCGGTATAATGATGAGAGAGATGATTTAAGTCATACTTTTTTTCAATGTGATTGGAGTGGACTTGAGGGTGGGGGGGGGGGGGGGTCCCCTAAGATCTCGGCCGTTTCACAGCCGATCGCCGCGAAAATGCATATTTATGGTAATTTATGCAAACAAGGTCAGAGAATTCACATTTTACCCATAAATCATATATAATTCATATTCGAGCGTTCTTTTTCACTTCATATATTCGTTAGAATAATAATACGACAACAAAGTTGGAAGAGCCAGTTTATCCCTATGTTATCTCTTGTTTTGATAATTTGTATTTATGTATTATATTATTTTGTTATTTCATTTCATGTCTAACCACAATTCAACTATTTTTACCCAAAATGAACACATTTACTTGAAACAAGACCAAATAACCAATGTTTTTTTTTTTTTTAAATAAATGGTATTTCCATATGTTTGGTACATAAATCACAAAAATGAGCGATTTTAGGGCTGACATGCAAAAACAAAAGGTCACGTGACTCCGCAATTATACGTCCGATTTTCAACAAAAAAAATGTTTCAAAAGATGCGTAAGACTCGAAAGAAAAAAGTCATGAAAGAAAAACTTTATATCTGCCGCGGTTCCGGAGTAGTCGCGAAATTACTAGAGAGCACTAATCTTTTTTAAGGCCCTCAAAAATTTGAAAAATCGTACCCCCCCCCCCCCCCTTGAACGCCAGGGGGGGAGGGATATCTCCCAAAAACGGTAAAAATTAACGTGTTTTTTTTACACGTTTTTTTCACAGGGCGGAGCCCTCAGAAGCTCAGGGGTATTAAACATCAAAATTAACGTCGGATGAGCATAATTTTATACCTTATTTGTGACAGTGGCAGGACACAATTTGGTGTTAGGTCCAGGGGGCGGAGCCCCCAGAAGCTCAGGAGTTTTGTCCATTAAATAATTATTATTTTATACCTTATTTGTGACACAGGGGTCACGAATTGGCGTGGGGTCCAGGGGGTGGAGCACCCGGAAGCTCAGGGGTTTTGGGCCATAAATAACGGTCAGATGAGCATATTTTATATCTATTTGTGACACTGGAAGGACACAAATTGGTGTTGGATCCAAGGGGCGGAGCCCCAAGAAGGTAAGGGGTTTTATACATCAAATTATCGTCAGATGAGCACATTTATATATCTATTTGTGACACTGGCAGAACACAAATTCTTCTTCCTCTTCCTCTTCTTTCTTTCCTTTTATCTTCTCTTTCCCTCTCCTTCTCCAACATAAAATGCAAGACGGATATATATCGACTCACCTTCTTTCCAAGAACCATACGGGCCTGGAATTTACTCCCCCCCCCCCCCCCCCCCCCCCCCCCCAGCATCTTTGCCTGCGACGCAGTCGAAACCTTCAAAGCCAGACTCTGGGGGTAATATAATCATAGTCCCTCCCCACAACTGCAATGTGATGGGACTTAATTCTAAAATGTTCTAGAAGCAACAAACACTCTCTCTCGAACGATATCGTTCTTATTGGTCATCTTTATATCCCTCTTGAGGATCAGGACCAGGATCAGAACAGATTCTCTCTCTCTCTCTCTCTTATTTATTTTTTGGCGGGGGGGGGGGGGGGGGAGGGAGGAGGCAAGAGCCCTTCGCCCCTGTTTCCCTCTTTTCTTATTCTTTTTCCTCTTCTTTCTTTCCTTTTATATTTTCTTTCCCTTTCCCTTCACTTTCTCTCTCTCTTATTTATTTTGTTGGCGGGGGGGGGGGGGGCAAGAGCCCTTCGCCCTTCCCACGTTTCCCTCTTTCCTTCTTCTTCTTCTTTCTTTCCTTTTATATTTTCTTTTCCTTTCCCTTCTCTCTCTCTCTCTCTCTCTCCTATTTATTTGTTGGCGGGGGGGGGGGGGGGGGGGGAGGAGACAAAAGCCCTTTGCCCACGTTTCCCTCTTTTCTTCTTCTTCCTCTTCTTTCTTTCCTTTTATCTTCTCTTTCCCCTTCCCTTTCCCTTCTCTCTCTCTCCTATTTATTTGTTGGCGGGGGGAGGGGGAGAGGCAAAAACCCTTTGCCCCCGTTTACCTCTTTTCTTCTTATTATTCTTCTTTCTTTCCTTTTATCTTCTCTTTCCCTTTCCCTTCTCTCTCTCTCTCTGATTTATTTTTGGCGGGGGGGGGGGCAAGAGTCCTTCGCCCCCCCCGTTTCCCTCTTCTCTTCTTATTCTTCTTTCTTTCCTTTTATCTTCCCTTTCCCTTTCCCTTTTTTCCTTCTCTCTGTCTCCCCATCAAAGAGACCACTCTGTAATCAAGACCATTCCATTTTATTTAATACATTTTCGATATACTTAAATTGGCAACTATTACCTTCTGTCCGAGATCCTCATTTTAAACGACTGATGCGAAAGACTAGTCGACGCACCCTTTCGAGAAAAGCCCCCCCGCTTTCATCGAAAGGGTGTGTTAAAACGGTACTCCGCTCTCAACGCACCCTTTCGAGAAAAGGCCCCCCTCTTTTATCGAATGGGTGCGTTGAGCACACCACACCGCGCCGCACCGCACCGCACCCTTTCGATGAAAGCCGTCAGAGAGTGCTCGAAATAGCCCAGTACAGTAAGGGTTAAAGGAGAAATGATGCATAAATATATATTCATTGATATGTTTTTCATTATCTCACTTGCAGATGGCCAGGGGAACATCATACTTGCCGCCTTACATCACCCTAGTCCGTACCATCAGCGAATACGACATGGAATCCGTATCTGGCGCCGCCAAGGCCAAGCACCGAGCGAAAGTGACCACGGTTACAGCACCATGACACCGCACGAGGACAGTGAATATCAATACGTTGAACCGGATCCTGTGGTGGCATCGCCGGAGAGAAACATTGTTGATCCTCCGCCTGGAATGCTACATGTGGATCGGTCCAATGAATTACCCAGTGACACTTGTAGAACTGCGCTTTTAGAGCGGGATTGCAGCCCGCCCTCATGTGATAACCCACTGTCGCAATCAATAGTGCCCAAGATAGAGCCTCCACCACAGACAGTATTGCCACGGAGGTCACATCACATGCGCACGAGAGCACAGGTTCATTCCGTGGATACCACCTGTTAGCAAAGACTCATGCAACTTGTAATTTAGAAGAATATAAGCATTATTGTATATTTATCTTGCATTGTGTAAATACGAACACACCCACCCCGTAGGAGGAGGAGGAGGATGTGATTGCCAAAGTATTATTTTGTGAGAGACCGGAATGGATCATATTTACTGCATTAATGATAGATCATTGCTATAGTGTCATAGCTTGCTGAGAGATTATCAAGTGTGGATCATGCAAGAAACAGCAAGAAACAGCAAGAAACAGCTAGAAACGGCTAGAAACAGCATGAACAATTCTACAAAACAGTATATTCAGTTTCTTTGTTGTAGATCATGATGTAGGAGGAAAAACTGAATCGCGAAGCTTCTATTTACACAGTCATGCTGGTGCTTGCTAAGGAAATTATGTCTACATCTCTACGCTAAAGATTATCTATCTGTTTCAGCTTGCTTGCATGGGCTTTTCTACAACATATCTACACAATACGATGATGTCCTCTGTAGCACTTGTCAAATATTTGATGCCATATTTTGTCTATTGACTCAGTTTTTTCTACGCGAATGCCATTTTTCATCATCTAATTTTAGTCATCCGGATATTCTCTTGACTTGTATGCTCTCACTTGTTTATCACTATGTCTTAAATAGATGAGTAGGTGTTTAAATTTTGTAGGAAAAATGATGTTTTGAAGAACATATGTAAGATTTCTTCCACAGGTAGATATATGTTAAAGTCATAAAGGCCACACCTCCTTACATGCTTTGGAATGGTACATGTACATTTATCCCCCTGTGTTTTATATCTGCATAATTTGGTTTGGGATTGTGCCATTTGAAATCCACCGTCTACTTTTTCAAATCACAAAATGACCATGAAGGAACATTTGAAATGTAATAAGGTATGAACTTTGTTGGAAAGAAAGGACCAAATCCTGAATATAAGGTACCCAGTAATATCAGACTCTTTAAGAAGGAGGCCCAGGAATGTTGCTTAATATGGACCAAATCTTGACTTTAAATTCTCAATATTACCAACTCTAAATGAATGAAGGCCCTCGGATGCACACCTTCTTGCTGACTGCAAAAACAAAGATGAATCAGTTGTGCCAAATATACCAGCCATTAGAGAATGCAATCATGATTTGAATACCCGTGTATGTAAGTGTGCATGCGTGTGTGGTCAATGGATATATAAGGCAGTAATTTGTGTATCCTTAATCATTATGTGTATACACATAATGTTGTTAAATGAAAAGTAGTGGAGCATCTTTTACATTGAAGTAAAACAATAAGTAGGAAATTGAATCATGCGTAAAGTGGAGGCCAAGTTATTGAAAATGAATAGACCGAAGGAGGCAGAATGTTTTGATTTTATACCCCATTACAATATCTTGAGAACTATTTTGAGAATGAAGATTTGAGCGAGCTTCAGTTCTGTTCTAACAATTACTGTTCTGTGTTAATAATTCATGGGACCATAAGCTGTAGGGAAATTCGGTGTGGTTGTCGTTTTATCGTCATGCTATCGTCATACTATGTCTTGGATTCTTTTTCAAAGAGCCTCATGTAGCCATTTTCTCTTTGGCATATACGATTGCCCTTCTTCAGGAAATATATATTTTTGCTTATGTCTTTGATAGGAGGTAGCGAGCGAGTGAAAGGCATAGGAATTTTTGTATTCTTTTAATAGCTTTTTTGGTTTGTTCCGGTGTACAAAAAACAAAAGCAGGCTTCCATTAAGCGCATATATTTTTGTTCAATTTGCTGATACTATTTAATATTGTGTATGATTAATCTCAGAAACCGAATAGTGTGTAAAAAATTCATGTAAAATGGTGGCTCTGCATGAACTTCAAATAAAAATAAAAATCCAAAGCAGATTGTAAAAACAAGCGAAACACACTTGATCAGAGTGTGATCCAGTTTTTCAAGAAGTTTCAATATCATTAGCATTGCCTACTTAAACATCCAAAATATTGCTGATTAAGGTTCGTCAGTTATGTAGGCCTTCAAATAGAATTGCTCTGAATTCTAGTGATGAAACATGAATGAAAAGCCTCGCCCCCTGATTTGAAAACTGATGTGGATTTCTCTCTGACTGAAAGGTTGATAATTACAGTTCAGTGAAAAAGATTTCCATAATATTTCACATCTATTGACATTGCAATTTCTTTCACATTAGATTGCTGTCTGATCATTTAGTGCACGATGAGCTTTTCTCTATCATCTTACACATACTCTTCAGGAACCATTACTTGATGCTTGCACCAAATGCACTAGCGTATTTTCAAAACATGTTAAAATGCTCACGTCAAGCTGAAAATAAAGAGCTGGAATTATCTTTATCTCTTAAAATCTTCATTCTTCCATTTTGCTATGCATATTTTGTTTGCAATAATTTGTTTTCCCCCAAACTCAAAATTTCATAAAAACTGCCAAATCAGCAGTATAGCATTAGTTATTTTTTTTTTTGTACAGTTTATTTAATATGTGTTTATATTTTGTATTTGTTTTCATTGATTATTTGGAAGTCGGAAGCTGTTGAGCAGTATATACATGTAGCGATTATCAATAAATGATGTATACTCCAAATAATGCATTGCTATGTATGTGCTAGATCATAGAAAACATATTTTGCCAAATTTGTGTCATGTTTTTTATGTTAACTTATGTTGTAAATATATTTGTAGAAAAAAACGAGACAGAAAAAAGCAAACAAAAAGAAGATTCCCATAGTTTTGTAATCCCACCGTCAGAGAGGTACGCCAGTGTGTCGTTCAATCAATTATATTTTGCCAATTAGTTGTTGTATGGAAATTTTCTTTTAATTTGCTAGTCGTACTGTTATACATTCATGTACTCATCATAATATGGGAATTTGCCAGTCTAATTTCTTTGTATTTTATTGGTATGGGTTTCTGATACAAGTATAACATTGTTACAGTATAAATAGGTCCCAAGTCATTTGTTATGTAACAAGTTTATAATGTCTTAGAGAAAATAAGTGATATATTGGTTGACATAGTCCCACCTACCGGTACTCGACCTGAAGGGATACAAGTTATGTTACATCACTACTGAAGGTAATACATTTTTAATGCCATTTTTTGTGCTCATGAAATGGGACTACAACCTTACAATTTGTACTTAAAATGCAAGAATTAATAAATATGTATGATTCATGTACATGTATTCAAAAATGAAATGAAAAATGTCCAGTATATTACCTTGAATCGAAAAATGAATTGTACTTTTTTTCTAAGAATTCTGCCATTTCTGTTTATCGACACTTCTGTATTCAAAATTATTCATGTGGTTGAATCTAAACAGGAAGAATTACTTATTTTCTGAGATCCTTATTTATGTATTTTATAGACTGACGTTTTGTCACTCTATAAGACAGTACTAATTTTGTTGTCAATTTTATAGAACTACAATTGAAGTCAATAATCAATTTAAATGTACCCTCAGAGTGTATGAAAAACTAAATTACACAAATTTAGAGTTTTCTGTTGTAAGAATTGTATACCTTCATCATGCTTGTTACATGGATGGAACAGTGTTGGGGGGGGGGGGGGCTATAATACAAATCTTTTCAACCATTACAACAACAAAAAAATGAAATTGAATTTGTAGATAATGAACAAAAATGAACAAATAATTTTATGAGAGATTCATGCACCTTCATATTTGCTTTGAAATATCAAATAGTGCCAACAAGAAATGACCAGAATCAAGAACTTTGTATATTTATTGAAGAAAGCTGGAGCTGTATTATACAGGGATAGTCCACTAGGAGTTCAAAATGTCACAAAATAGAAATGGACACAATGATTATTCATGAAATATTGGTCATAAAATGTGATTGACAATGCCTCAACATACGATTCAGACTGCGCCATGGAGTATCTAAGAACCCCCATTGCTCCCTAGCTCCTGGCTGCATGGGACATTGCTCTTCACAGGTTTGACATTTAGTCTGTGGACCACCCTCATGATAGGTACCAGTGACCAGGGCCCCATTTCACAAAACTTTTCATCAGTGACACAGTTCTTGTTATAAGCTAGTGAAATCCTTACTTCTGATTGGTTATCAGCAGATTTGTAACTGATTTTCGTCACTTGTCAATGAAAAAAGGCTTTGAGAAAACGGTCCCTGGTCTCTGACCATTTTACATGATATGTCTATGTTATACACCCTCGAAGCTTTTCATATTTTTGTAATCAATCAGTCAAGTCCAGAGTGTAGTAGACTACAAGCTTCTGGTAAATCTGTAATTAGACTTAGAATGACATTCATTGTGGGTTCATATCATTGTATACACAAAATAATGAATAAATGCAACAGCTATTTCATGAACGAAAGAGAGGCTCTCCAGTGCATCATTGAATTAAGTTCCAATGGGAGTGAAACGAGACCCAAGATAGAAAGTGCATGTTTGTATGTGAGGTACTACTGATGGTCATTTATTGTGTGGGAGAAAGTGATCAAAATAGAATAAAGAGACTGGTTTTAAGTACAAAGAAAAAGTGACTGGAAAGGAAATATATTCAAAAGAGAGAGAGAGTGAGAGATACAGAAAGAGAGAGTGAGAGATACAGAAAGAGAGAGAGAGTGAGAGATACAGAAAGAGAGAGAGAGATTGGAGAGGGGGGGGGGGGGTGCAGTACTCATAAATGGGTACCTGATAGGAAGACATAAATTTGTGAAATGCTGGAAATGGGTACTAATATTCATGTTAAGTAACTTTTCATTTTCATTATTTGAGAGGAGAGCGTTGGAGATAAAAGCATCAATGTAGTGTAATATCTAATAAAAACAGAGAAGAGATGTAAAAACCATTCTCTCCTACATGTATTACCCCTTTCCTGTCAAGTCATTATCTTGATTCTTACATGTCTGTCTCCCCTCTCACTTACACACACACTCTCTCTCTCTTTCTCTCTCTCTTAATCTCATTCCAGATTCCCTTTTCTTGTCCTTTTAGATTTTAGCCAGCCTTTTTCCTCTTCTCATCTCTGTTATTGTCATTTGTGACTGTGTTGTTTGTGTGAATTCTCCTAATCATATTCTACTGCTGTACACATGAACCCATGTGCATTGGAAAGCCAAAAGTAGGAAAGAGTACTCCATTCATACATCTGTATTTTGTATGAAAAAATAGTTTTATTTCAAATGTATGTACACATTATGTTATATACAACTACAGGTAAATATACACACATTTTAATGGCAAGAACTTGATTACAGTATCAAGAACATGTGATGTCACATCAATTCATAGTTTTCATGAGTAAAATGCAGTACATGTCTCAATGAACAAAAATCTTGAGTACAACATGGGTGTACAATAAAATTCAGAGTAAAGAGTACCAAACAACAAATAATATTCTGTTCTGTATGTTGAGTTGCACGTGCCTACTGATACTATGTTCAAAATATGACCTTCAAATAGTACTTTCATAAAGAGATGATGCAAGTTTGAATACAATCTCAATTAAAATCAACCTGTGAGTAGAATACTTGACGCACCTGTACTTGCATGCTTAGAATAGCACCTGCATGAAACTAAAAGGCTGGCTTGGGTTCAGTACGTAGGAATCTCTTCATACTCCTTATTTGTTGGCCCCCAAAATGCCAGGTAACAGGGGTTTTTTTAGGTTAATTTTATACACTCTTGCTGTACACTAATTATTTTAAGTAATTACAAAATTGCACTTTAAAAAAAGAATACAGGATGTTAACAATCATCTGACAACACAATCAATTAACACATTAATAGCTCTTTGCAAAGAAATGATAAATCTGGACCTTGTCTTATAAAGAGTGGTGATAGACTGGGATTGATCACTCATCCTCAAATAGATTGCTAACTTACAAGCTCCATCTCTACAGTGCAGAGTTGATTTCAGGTCGAGACTCATTTGAATTCATCACAACTATTTATAAGAGGGGTTCCTGGGGGTGTTTTATAAAGCTGTGCGTAAAGTTACAAATGACTTTACGCATGATTTGAATATGAAGAGCTGAATGGGATGCCCAAAGTTTTTCCTTACATTTTAACAAAGTGTGGCTGTATTTCCCATAATCTCAATTAAATTGTAGCCAAAAATACACTTTGCATTGAAATGTTTGTTAAAAATGATAAGGTTAATCTACATCCGCATATTTGAACTTTAGCTTAATATGCAATTAAAAGGATTTGAGAATCCCATTTAGTTCTTCATATTCAAGTCATGCGTAACTTTACACAGAACTTTATAAAACCCCCCCCCCCCCCCCCCAGGTATCACCCCATCTCAACATGTTTTTACTCTCATGGTAATCTTCCAAAATGACTTACAAAGAATGAGAAAGCACACAAATTATTTTCCATTTCTACCCAAACTCAACCTTCTCTTTGGGTTAAAACCCCTGTCACTCACTCACTTAACCAAGGTGATGTAAATGGGTACCGGGCAGGAATTAATTCTTTGAAATGCTAGAGCACCGCAATGGCAGCACAGCTAAAGCCGAGGTAATAATCTCCAAATTTGGAAGCACTTAATTATTCTAATAAGCGCTATATAAAAACTGAGTTTTATTATTATTATTATTCATATGACACAGTAAGTCTCTAATAGCTCCTGAGCCATTTCAGGGTTTCCACTGCCCCTATAGATGAGGGAGAGGTTGAAGGCTATCTGAGGTTGAAGGTCAAATCTATCATCATGAGGAATGATGGAAGGTAGACTGAGAGCCTTGTGATAGTAGTGGACTGCTAGGTGGTCAATAGCTGCAAGAAAAAACAAGATGGAGATTAAAGAACAAAAATAATAAATAGGAATCACTGTAGAAAAACTCTCATCATGAACAGCAAGATTTAAAAAAAGAAAAAGAAAGGATTTTTCTTGTAAAGTTAAATGGCTACTGTTTCTGATATGTTTATTATAAAGGGATCCAGTAACTTTGTCTCAGATCCTTTTTTTTTAAATCCCTGATTTAGCAATCATAATTATAAACCTTTAGGGCATACATGAATCCCATGACATTTACAAGCCGATCGCCTGCCTGATTATCAAGATATTTATGATTGGAAATCGAAATCAAATTTTGCATTTTCCTGATGGTTTTCATAACACTACAGTCTATTAGGGGAAATAAGGATGGTAAAACCAGTCACTCAAAGATTTTTACTTTTTTGAGGAACTTCATGATCATTTTGAAGCGAATTTTTTTTAGGGCTTCAATATTACACCATATCACAAACACTGATGATAGGGCCATGCATCTCAGACTTAACATTGTTAAATGATGCCTTTAATGGCAGTCAGTCAAATTTACCATTATTTATCAGCAGTCCACTGCCGACTAATTTCTATCATACCATGTGATTTTGACAACCCTAACAACTAAATCATTAGTACGAGTATAGTATAAGTCAATTGGTTTGATTAGCGGATCCTTCTAATCTAATCATATTTCATCTAATGAGTCCCTGGTTTGTTTCGCTGGTTGTTCAAATAACAATGTTAATATCTAGAGAGGAGTGTACTTACAAACTTGTTGTAATGCTCTTCCAATGTTATAGTTGGATTCTTGCGTATCTCCTCTTAGCTTCTGATAGGAGCGAAGACATGAAAACCCCTGTTGGATCAATTACATATTATGATATGAGATCCATCATCAGACAATAATAATGATATATCCATCAAAGTATGATTTCCTTGTGAAAACTACATGAGATACATATCAGTAATCAGATTTTTAACAACATGTCTGTCTATTGCTAAATCCAAAATCCAAAATCACTTGGTGTGTAGTTTAAAAAAAAAAATTTTAAACAATATTACCACCAGTTCTCTCAAATGATTAACATTGTCATTCAAATCAAGACCATGATCTACATCACCAGTGAGACCAATAAGATAAACACCATCATCATCTTCATGATCATCGTCAACTTGTCATCCATATCACCATCATCATCATCATCACCACCATCATCCTTATGACCATGATGATATTGATCAATATAATAATAATTTTTACCACTAACATCACTCAAGTGTTTCAGTTATCAGTATTATTTTTCACTTCCAACAGAACAGTAATTTTGACAAGAAATCAGACATGATTCAATAGTCAATAATATAATACATTTTTCATGGTTTAAAGTTATACAATAGAAAGTATACATAAATATCCAGTACAATAGATTGTTAAACCTTTTTAAAAGATAAACAGGTGGAAATGGAGGGATCAACAAACAAAATGTTGGCAACAAGCAGACTCGATGGTCATTTTGTAATGTGTGTTCTTCCTTCTTTGAAAATTAAAGTAGCCTAACCTGTGTAATGATGGAGTCCTTGTTGACGGTGAACCTCTGCGTTGCAAGGGCAAACAAGCTAACACCAACACACAGCAGCAGGAAAGGATTAGAAGGGTCGTGATAATATGCTCTCACATACTCTCCTGTAAATATGAAGAGAGAAGTTGTCAGTTACAGAGATGAGACAGAGAAATTCCCAAAATGGAGGAAGATTAAATGGGGGTCCGGGGGCAACACCCCTGGTGGGAGTTAAGGGGGCAGTGCCCCTTTCCAGGAGTTAAAGGCTGCTCCCCCTTTCCGCAGAAAATTTTAGGATATATTTACGTATTAAAAGGACACATTTTTCTTGAATTTAATTCTAAATTTGAGAGATATCTGCTATCTCATCTTGCTTAAAGGAACTTTATAGCATTGTTCAGATGAGAGAGACTTTTTTTTTTAACCCCTCTGTCTTGAAATCCCATCCCTGAATTTACCATCACATGTTCCTCACAACATTCCAAACAATCAGTGTCTCTTGATATCATCCTGGGGGCCAGTTTGTCCAAACCGTCATAAGTCTAACTTCTTGGACATCCCATTGAAACTTGTGTCATAGAATTCACACACATTGATGGGATGTCCATCAATTTAGACTAAATGATGGTTTTGAGAAACTGGCCCCTGAGGCCTAAGCACAAAAATTGAAATCTGGATCTACTAATTTCACTTATTAATGTCAGAATTATGCCAACTACTCATGATATTTAATATATTTCACAAATGGGGTCTACTGTAAATGTGCTGATATTTATTTCCATTTACACAAGTGCAATGACATCTTAACGACTCTGAAATTATTAAAAGTAGCGGGTCTTTACGTTGCCTTCACACATAAACAATAAACAGTCAGGTAACATTGTAAAATCTCACACAGTTACTCACCTATAGCATGTTTATAGCTGCTAGTCTGCAACGCATTATGTCCATTGATGATAGACAGGGCAGTACTATCAGGGTACAACTACATTTATTATAAGAAAGAAATAAAACCATGAATTACATAATTGTATACATTACATAAAGAGGTTTTCAAAATGAGAAAAAAAATCCAACAAAACTAGTATACCTAAACTCTTTGTAATTTTCAAAACATTCACTTTTTCTTTGCTCTAAATCCTGAATATATGTGAGTTTCCATTGAACATGTTTCTGTATTTGTTAGCACCACAGTTTCTCAATGTTGTGCTCCTTCTCTTCAATATACATGGATAGATTAATGTTGCCCTGTTTTTTTTAACGCATGTGTAACTTGCATTAGTCTGCTTAGAATCCAGTTTCACAAAAATATTCTAAGGCCAGAGGAGCAATTCCTATTATGACATGTCTCTTATGAGCAAGTCACACAACCTAGCCTACAGAAGCAGTTCCATAATCAAAGAAAACATTGTAAGCACTTGTAAAAACTTCAGGGCCCGTTGCATAAAACTTACCATTGATGGTAACTTTGACATAAATGGAAACTGCCATGATGGTAACAGGGCTCAACAGCCAATCAAAATCAAGGTTTCCATGGTAGTTACCAATGATGGCAAAGTTACTATCAATGGTACTGTGCAACATGACCCAGATGTTAAGTACTTGAGTTTACACGAGAGGATTTGCCAAACTACTTTTTTATCTTTCACTCACCCTTATAGTCAGCCTGAGGCAGAACTTATGATGTCTTGGTCCCATAGTGTTGGTTACAATCAAGCTAAAAAGGTTCATTAGATTTGTCTTCTCACCCCACTAATCAAATAAAGACAAGGTAGAAAAAACATTATATAGGAACAGTGAAACCTGTCTATATAGAACCACCCAAGGGAGACGAGAAAAGTGGTCTTTATACGCAGGTGGTCTTAGTTTACAAGTTCCTTTAATATATATTTCAATGAGAAACCATTTTCAAGGAAAATGAAAAATGTGGTTTTTGTAGACAGGCGGTCTTTCTACACGGGTGGTCACTAAAGCAGGTTTGACTGTATTACCAACTTGGCCACTCACATGCTCTGAGCAATCACATCCAGTTTGTACATGCCCATTCATGTTGATGGTAATGGTTTTATTGAAAATTCATTTGCAGCCAAATGACTGAATTGCAGAATTTTGATAATTGTGTAAAAACATAAATATTTATACAAACATTAATTTAAGTCAATTATTTGGAGGCCATGATTGGCAGGCATGTGGTTTTCTTACGCAGTATTATAACCTGCGCACAATTATATCAGCGCGCATTTATTGCAACGCATTAATTGCGCATTACTTTTGATTGACCGTGTGATGTCACAATGCTTATCAGTTAGTATTTTACTTAGATTTTGTCTAACGTAAGTAAAAGTCTAAAATGCGATTCGAATACGAGATAAGTAAATTTCTTAGCTTAGCCATTTACTTAGTAAATTTCTTACTTATGCTAAGTATTGAATTGAATACTGGCCCTGGTCCCAGTAGACCAAACTGAGAATTGATAATCAACACAATGAACAATGCATGCCATATGTACCTTGTTGACAAACTCCCTGATGTAGAAGAAAGCTTCTTCAAAGTTGTTATGAAGGTAGGACGCACAAACCAGCATGAATTTCAGTTTCTGTTTATAGATGTGAAGTGAAAGAAAACAAATAAACATGCCATGAGTGAATCAGCAATGACAAGTATTGTAGCATAGAAACCAAGGTGATCCTGCGGACCTAAAGTATTTGAATTAATGAACGATTCACTCTCAAGGGTTAGATGGCAGAAATCATGCTTGTGAAATATCTTTGATATTTAAATAAACTCTGATTTTCAGATCGAGTTAAAGTGATAACGATCGACATGTACATGAAGGAGAAGGGTTGACCGTGTGACAGAAAATGATATGGAAGATCTCTGCCTCGCTGCATTACGTCAAGAATGTGGTTATAGGTAAGACACTACCAATATGAAAATGAGCTTTATCGAGTACTTTCTACTGTAATCCCAAAGATGCTACTAAGGTAAATGACCTTTAATAAGACAAGATTTCAATCACAGTTTTCAACTATTCCTGTTATCATTATACCTATTCATACAAACATTGCTGTAAAATATCTAAGTCCGCCATTTTTAAATCCATTATAAAGGTGGAAAAGAGAAAGTTTTCTGTGTCTAAATATAATACACATGATATCAAATTTTTAGGGTGTTCTAAACTGTCTTCAGAGGGTTAATACATGCATGATGTTGTAGGTACCCTTGGCTTATCTGTTTCCTTCTCAAAGACGTTAGACTTGAGGGTATCTTGGAGGAGCCTGCACGCCTCACCAAACCTCTTCATCTCGCCTAATGACTGACAACTCTTCTGAATCAAACTAAACCACTCCCCTTTAGTGATCACGCTGTAGTTTGCATAATCTGTAGAAGAAGAAAAAAATTCATTCATTTTCAATCCCTTTCAAATAATTTGGTTTTAAAAGAGGAAGAGTGAAACCTGACGAAGGGCAGGCAAAACAAGATTTGTAAAATGTTAAAACTTGAGGTAAAATCTAAGCATTAGACTCAAGGAAATTAACATAACATTTAATAACATAACATTTAATGTTGTCTTTTTTTTTTTTTGCAAATTAGAGGAACTTTTGTATCAATAATCTACTTAAAGAGAATTTAGGTTTGAAAATATAAATAAAACCGGTACATCAAATCTAACTTCTAGAAACAATTTCACAGATTTTCTTATGACACAGTGGAAATGACTGACAGTAAACTGCTTGCAATAAAAATACAGCAAGACAAAACAAAGACAAATGAATAAGCCCCAAATTACAGAGATGAAGGGGACATAATAAATACAACCCTATTCTTCCTTTGTTCATATTTGGGTCCGTCCAGAGAGTTGGGGCATTTTTTGTGACATACCAGAAGTAAGAAACTATGTCTCCTATCAACTGTAACAATGTTTGCCCAAATTGAGTTTTGCATAAAAAGCATAGTCAACTATCTTCAGAATTACTCAAGCTTCAAGGCGAATCAATATCATGGACCTCAAGTTTATGAAATGATATGTGAATATGGTGTCCATGTAACGCTGATTAAAAGAGAAATGTGTATTCAGCAAGGATTTTGAAGAAAATCAACTGAAACATTAATGATTCCGGCATGGCACTACTATATATATTCATTGCATAAAAATCTTTAACATACAATTTTATCTTGCATGTGTAGTAGAATATCTCAGCGTCATATTTTTTGCCCCAACTTTATGGAATGACCCATATACAAACCTTCTTGGTCCTTCTGGATGTATTTTGAGAGAAGATTGAGTCCTTTCTCCACGAACTCTTGAAGGTGTCCTTGTGTGTGCATCAGTGTACTCTGTCTGAAGAGAAGCTGAATGTCTTGCTTGGAGAGAGCCTGATCATCATCCTGCTCTACTGGATCTGTACAGACAGCATAACAAAGACTAGGGGTAAACATGTCATCTTCATCATGATAAAATCTGAAATCGGCTGCCTAGCAGAGCCGGGGTAATAGTTGGAACACCTTGAACACCATGCATGGTGGATATAAATATCCAATATTATTAACAAATCTTTTCTATACATTCAGTTATGATATATTTGAAAAACCGACATTGCAAATCATTATCGTCGTCGTCGTCATCATTACCATCACCATCATCCCCATCATTAGCATCATCAATTCAATAATAAGTATCACCAAAATCGGCATCCTCACCAATGATAAACATATCATTCTCATTAAAATCAGTATCATTAACATCATATCATCCATAAAAATACTCCATTCATATCAAGTCTCCTTATATCATTAAATATATGAAATATAATACAAATGCAAGATACTAATTAATCAACCCTCTTGAACACTGCTGTCATCTCTCTACATGTTCCTTACCAAGAGTAAGTGTCTGTAGCGCTGACTCTGCTCTTCCCAGCTGCTGTTCAATGGCTGCTAGGGCTAACCTAGCATCTAGGTGTCTAGGTGCTTGCTTCAGAACCTCACTGTATGCCCTGCTGGACTCTGCTAGCTCACCTAAGGAGTTCAAACACTCGGCATATCGCAACCACACTGCAGGCTGATGGGAGACAAGTAGAAAGGATAATGTAAATAGTAAGAACCCATCTAAAAAGGACATCAACAGTGACCAAGACTTTATGAACTTTTTCAAATGGCATGGAAAAGTATTATTGGACATATTACAAGTTTCTCTTAAAGTCAAGAAATTATGAGAGCATAATTGATATTTGTTATCGTTGCCTCCAAAATTCAAAGTGATGGCCAAAGAAAACTTAGTAATTGCCTTCTTTAGTCTATAGTTAATAAAGACAACTTGTCATGTTTATGAAACCCATCTTCTATCACTTGCACATGGCATTTAGGGGCATCATTTAATGATTTCTCTTCTTTTATTAAATCATCTTATGAGGAATTTATTGCTTTAACAATAACACAATAAACATATTACACAGATTACATGACTGTAAAAAGTAAGGAAATAATATATTACATATTTTCAAATTGTTTAGTACTCTGTTAACATTATTTTCTTCAGACTTTTCCTCTGAGTGTTTTTTTTTTTTTTTTATTGTATTCACTTATTTTCATTTATTATTCTTTTTGTAGATTTGTAAACTTCGTTAAAAGAAATGTTTGTTCTCAAGTTAAATAATCTCTCAGGGAAGGGATTAGGCTGCTGTACAACTGATCAGCATGATCAACGATACAGGTGTGATAGGTTCTCTAGCAAAACGATCATTCATAGGAGCTGTACATTGCAAGATCTCAGCCTTACCAAATTGTAATTCTTGGCTGCAACAAGAGCTGCTAGTATCGGCTTGGCTGCTTCGTAATCATCTGAAATTCAAAATCCACACAAGAATACTTCCTTACATCACAAGCAGAAACAAAATTTGTGTATATCATCATCTTATTGATTTTCAATCATAAAAAGTATGCTATACAAAATGTCTTTGGCCTTCCATCTCTCGCAAGCCATCAATCTCACAATACCACAAGGAAAATCAATACAAAAATACTACTGCAAAGTGTTTTGTAGCTTGGAGAAATAAATTAAAAGGATTTCACATACACCAGACATTTAAGGTTTATTGCCATTTGATCTATGGCCAGTTCACCTACTTTCTAATTGGTCTATTCCCATATGGTCTACACCCAGCCCGTCTACTATCCACATGGTCTAATAATAGTTTCATCATGAACAATAATTCAATTCAATTCCATTCAATTTCGGTTTTATTACAAATATACCAAATAAAAAGTCCAAAGACTAACAATAATTGGCTCACAATGTATCATATAAAAATGCATTTAAAACAGTAGATTTAAACATTAAATAATCATAAAATATAAAATAACAAATATATTATGAATTAAATAAATAATAAAGTATCATATCAGACCTTATGGATAGGAGACAAAATGGACATTATATAAACTGGGAATTAGACTAACTGGTTATTAGACTAAATGAACAATAGACCAAATGGGTAGTAGACGAAATGGAAATTAGACCAAATGGCTGAGCCTAAATGAGCCTTCTTACCAAATGATAAGACTAAATGATTATTAGACCATGTAGATAGTAGAAAGGCTGGGTGTAGACCAAATGGGATCAGACTAGTTGGGTAGTAGACGAACTGGTTGTAAAACCAAACAACAATTCACCACCATATTATTGGTCAAAACATGATATAAAACGAGATTTCAAATCCCAACACTGCTTTTGTCACAGCTGCCGAGTCGCTTCACCTGCACAAAATTATTCATAAAATGAGTGAAATATTCACGAACTATCTGAGCTGATATTACAAACTTGACTGCTATACTGATACGAGCCAGGTACTTACTGATCTCTATGTAAGCCTCTGCTACATCCAGATACAAGTATACTGATACGAGCCAGGTACTTACTGATCTCTATGTAAGCCTCTGCTACATCCAGATACAAGTCTACTGATACAAGCCAGGTACTTACTGATCTCTATGTAAGCCTCTGCTACATCCAGATACAAGTATACTGATACGAGCCAGGTACTTACTGATCTCTATGTAAGCCTCTGCTACATCCAGATACAAGTCTACTGATACAAGCCAGGTACTTCCTAATCTCTATGTAAGCCTCTGCTACATCCAGATACAAGTATACTGATACGAGCCAGGTACTTACTAATCTCTATGTAAGTCTCTGCTACATCCAGATACAAGTATACTGATACAAGCCAGGTACTTACTAATCTCTATGTAAGTCTCTGCTACATCCAGATACAAGTCTACTGATACAAGCCAGACACTTACTGATTTCTATGTAAGCCTCTGCTACATCCAGATACAAGTATACTGATACGAGCCAGGCAGGTACTTACTAATCTCTATATAAGCCTCTGCTACATCCAGATACAAGTCTCCCATCTCCTCGGGATCCTCAGAGAAGAGAGGTTGGGTTACCATGGCTACCGGAGTGAGATGTCTGGAGTGGATGAGGCAGATGGCTAGCTTGACCCTCAGGTCAATAGGAAGACCATCGGGAATGTGGACATTCACTGCTTCTGGTTCTGCTCTGAAGACATAATAAAGAAATAAAAATAGAACAATAATTACTTGGAATGAAGAAAAAAAAAACATGGCCTTTAATTTGCTTTAAAGATACTATGTCCCTTTTGCAGCCAACATCAAATTCTGTAGAACTTTGCAGGAATTATGAATATGTTATGTATGTCATAGCTGTGAAATTTAAACTTGAGCAGTGTCCTAATATTCAAATTATGCAAGGAAACCCGTTTACTTGCTAGACTTCACTGTCAGACACTATTGAGTGACTGACTGGCTTTTTTCATCTTTGGTAATAACATACATAAAATGAGCTGTAAACGGTACATGAGCATTTGTCTACATCAATAACCCACTTCTTGTAATGGCCAAAATTAAATCTTTGCTTGGCATAAAATGTACGACCATTCGATACAATGGTCTGAACAATCAGACTATTACTTGCTTGCTCTATAGCTCCTAAGTCAATTCGACAACTAATAGTCGTTATTTTCCCACTAAAAGACATTTTCAAGCCCCCTCCTTTTTTAGGGAAGTTCTAAATTAGTATCGTCTTTCAAATGCCGTTGGAATTTAACCTTTTCATTTTTTTGGCCTGCAAATGGGACATAGTATCTTTAACTGTGTAGGTCGGTGGGTTGTATGTGTATTTCTGAAGCCAAAGGTACTATGAAAACAAGGGCAAATTTCTGAACATAGATAGGCTCCTAATAAACCAGCTAAAGCTTAGCACTATATCTGTGTAAGGGTGGAGAGCAACATCACCAGCAATCTTGATCCCAACACAATATCAGACTAGCAAGGACTAAACTCTAACTTACTACAATCGTAGGTTTACTAAAATATTTGATGTAGGCAGCAGATTATGGTCTACATATCTTTGAACGGGGCATGAAATCATCTACTAAACTCACAAGAGCCTTAGCTTATTCCCTTTTCTCTTTTTCTCTAGTGAATAACAGACCTGGGCCCAGGTTCATTAACTTCGTATCAATAACTAGTGTTCTAATTCAATACCATATTTACTCACAGCCAATCAAATGCAATAACAAATGCAATGACATGTACACATAATGTAATAATCTGGAGGCTTCCTATTTTCAAGTGTATACTTTTCGTTGTCCTCCTTTTCTTGTTCAAATGTAATTATTTACGAATGTACAATCTGATGTTTTATTTGATGTTCAAGAATTGAATTTGAATTGAATCGAATTGAATAATGTCAGTAACTTGAAATAGTTTTTTTTTTTTTAAAGTTGTCTTTGATATGAAGTAGTCCTTACCTTGACGGCTCTACTTTGCCGAGCTCTACTCTGACCCCACAGTGATCACACATGACCTGTATAGCACGCTGGTACTGACGACTGGAGATGTACAACTCAGCTATGGTATTTACCTCTGTACAAGGGAAATACAGGTAAACACTAATGAAGATGTTCATCCTAAATGACTCCTTATGATATGTATGTTGTCTTTTAAATACTGTAAATATAAAAATATATAATGCTAACCATTCTTAACAGTTCTTAACCCATTGACTACTGAATTTGTTCATTCCCATAGGCTTAATACAGGAACTACCTGTATTAAGATTAATCTTGCGCTGGACATATAGTAATCTCAAAGCCTTGGGTATATCTATTCCATGAATAACACAATATGACACAGGAAGACTATTTTTGTGACATACGAAAAGTTAAGGAATCTTAAAGTTAGGTGAGAGGAAGAGAAGTAATAAGAGATTGTGTTTACCTTCTGAGCTGATATGGTCTGGAAACCTCTTCACCAATGTCTCCATGGCCTCTATAGCAAGATTCACTTCCCCCAAGTTATGGCACCTCTGATTAAAAAAGAAATAAAACATAAGAATTCAATGGTTTGAAAGTTCATATATCCTAAAGTAAAAATTACCTGTCACTGTTTCAATGTCTAGAGTTAAAACATCTTCCTCAGACACAAATTGGCGGATTGAATCAAGTTGGTAATTTTACGACTACCAGTAGTTGTTTTTTGGCCATAACACCGTTGTAATTCTGCCAATCCGCTTTGGAGGACTAGTAGTCAATAGGGTAACAACTTCCAACCTACTGGGGACATAATCAAGAGATTAGCATACCATATCATAAGGATAGAGACAGATACCGAATTACTCACTTATGCGTATGTCAATAAAACTTTCTTGGAGATTTTTACTCTTGCACAACTATTGATGTAGTCCCACACTTAGGTTTTTTCAACTGGTAGGTCTGTAGTCTATGAACATTTAATCCTGACTCTGGCTTTAAGCTCAGTCTTAAGTTGAGTTTATCAAAGAAGTTAGACTGAGGCTTAGTTTTTCCTTTGTTTAACATCACTGAAGTCCTCAAGTCAGTTATAATTGAATTAGTACAATATAAGCCAATCAGATTAAATGTGACAGGTTCAAATTTTAATGATTTGGGTAATTCTGTTTGACTGGTGAAGGTCATGACAAGGTGATTCACCTGGACTAGTTCCCTAGCCACCTGTATACCCTGGTGCCATTCATCTTGAGGAAGATGCTTGATGATGGTATGATAGGACTCCATGGCCTTCTTGTTCTCTCCTAGTCTGATATACAGACCAGCGCGGGCATGGAGAGTGGGGATGTGATGGTTGTTGAATTTCAGTACTGCAACAGGAAATAAACACACAGATATTCGTCTAGATACAAAACCCTTCCAACTGCTTTACATTTACTTTTGGAAAGTATCAAAACTGTATGTAGTTAAGCAGCTATTTTTTTTCTTCATATTGAAATCAAGCCTACCTTTCAATTACCTTAAGTTTCTCTTAAATTAAAAATAGAATTGAAGTAATGTGTTCCAATCTTTAACTTGCTTTAAACTACCCCCAGTGATAACCATTTCTATTGAACATGAATTTCAACTGGTTAAAGCATTCCATACCAGGGCTCACTGACTGATGCTAAAATGCACTAACAATCAACAAGGTTGGCAACTCTTTCTGGTACTAAACCACTTTTATCTCAAACTTAACAACTAGCCTTGTTTTTTTCCTTAGTTCTCTCTCTGATCAACCAAGAATGAGGTTTCTCAAAAGATGAGAAAGATAATTGGGTTCCAGATTAAGGGTTAACAAAATAATTATTCATACATATACGTTATCTGCAGCCAGAGTTGACTTAAAATGATGAAAATAATTAATTACATGGCCATCATAAAGAGCTTACCTTTAGTATAGCAATAGACAGCTTTCTCCAGGTCATCTCTCTCTAAGCACACATCAGCAAGCTGCTGCCATTGCTCTGTATCTCTTGGTGAGATATGGGCTGCAATCAGTTGAAACTGACAAGATAAAAGAATGAAAATTGATGTTATATGAATCAAACCACTCTCTCCTTTGCTCTTCAACCAATTATCGAAGATTGGATTCTTCCAAATTTGGGGCTTTGATACATTGCTTCGATGGTAAATGTATTTTGTACACAAACAAATTTTGAATTGAATTGAACTGAACTATAAAATAAAAATAAAAACATGGTAAGTCAAAGAATAAAATTTCTTCCAACGTCAAGTCAAAGCATAGAAAACAATCAAAAGGAAATATCAAAGTTGTTGAATAAACGTAACGCTGCTGGATCCAAAGTACCCCTCCGGCATACTGCAGGGGGATACAATTACAACTATAAAAAAGGATGGTTATCACAATTCTAAGCGCCCGCATCAGGTGAAATTTTACATTTTGATTTAAGCTACTTATTGTTGCTCTCTGTTTAAGTTTGCTCAGTTCAAATCAGAAATACTTTTATCATAGCAAACGTGGATGTGATAATTGATACAATTAATCCACTTAGTCAATATTGGACCAAAATGAACGCCTCATTGCTTTTAAGAGAAAGAGATTCCTTGATGCCCTTCTCATGTACCTGCATAGACTTCTCCATGTCTCCCAGGTCCTCATAGATCATACCAAGGAGCTGGAAGGGCTCCACGCTCCTGGGGGCTTGACGTATGATCTCCATACACATCTTAGTAGCTTGGTCATGCTCTTTGCGTGCAAAGCAGAGATGAGCCTGACCCATCAAGCCTCGTAGGTTCTTAGGAACCCTGGTACGACGTCGACGGTGCTTGTGGAGCTCCGCGGGAGGGACGCGACACTTGCGTCTGCGTAGTCCACGCATGATCTGGATCTCTACGTTCATAGCATCAAATCCTATATGGTATGAAAGCAGTAATAGATTATGTTTTATTACATTTCAATTTTTTTACCTGACTACTACGAATGCATGTGTATGCTTGTAGGTGAGCAATGAGGGGAATGATTGCTTTAAATCCTTGCTGAGGGATTTGGTGAGAGGATTTGGTGAGAGGATTAATGCCTTACCAAAGGGCACTACCACATTGACTTGGTTTTAACCCAGGAACTCGCGGTTACAAGACACTTCTCTACCACTGAGTCATCATGCCTCCTGGACTTCCTTAATGAAGAAAAAGAAGCGAAATCATTTGGAAAGGCAAGGTCAAATGTGGAAGTTGGATTCTGTATCACATGTGTGAGTGTTCTCAAGTTTATACAGCTGGATGTGAGAAATATGCCATATTTGTGAAAATTTGTATGGGTAAGTGAACTCAAAGGTGGTTTGATTTATTGGAAATAGATAAGTGGTTGGTGCCTTTAAAAGTGGTGCTTGCTCAAAAATGAAAAAAATACAAACACTTCTGAATTTAGAGGTTGTCCTAACTGATATGAAGCATATTTCACTGCAAACCCATCATCATTCCGTTTCCTAAAACATCTTGGGTTGAGGATAAGAAAACATGAAAACAGTAGAAGCTTCATATGCTGGAGATCTCAACTGTCACATGACAGCACAAAGAATTTCGTTTCTATTTTTCATCCAGGATACTTAATAATGAATGCTTATAGCTCTGCTTGTCTAATTACATGGAAAACTGTACAAAAGTCTGTATAATTATGTTCCCTTCATAAGCCCAGTCATCTAGCCTGTTCTTCATTTTTCTAATCTTCCTTACCTGTAATGTCCCGTACGTTTTCCTCTTCATCTCCAGCGCTACTCTCTAACCTGGGGAAGGATGGATCTGGAAAATTATAAGATACAATCATCTCAAATCAAATGCCATAAGCACACTTAAACTTGCATTAAAAATAACCATAACATTATTTATAACTCGCACATATCCACCCCAAGGGGTGCTCATGGCGCCTTAACAAATTTTGGAAATTATTACCCCCAGCTTTGCGTGTGTTGCCATTACAGCGCTCTACTCTAGCATTTCAAGGAATTAACTCCTGCCAGTGATCATCAATGGCGAAAGAATACCTGTGAAGTTGTTTTTGTTTCCCTTGTAAGTGTTCCTCATCAAAACTTTTAGAGGGGAAGTCGACCCTGATATCAAGTTGGTTTAATATGAGCAGAAAAAAAAGAGAAAAATTGAGCAAAACCAATGAAAAATATTTAAGTCATGGATTTGTTAAGTTTAAAAATATTGGCAACTTTGTGATGTATCTTGCGAGGTCTCCTCTCATTTGCTACGTACTGAAAATATTCAAAAAGATTTATATATTTCCTTCAAAATAATAACTCATCCTCTAATAACAATCCAAAAAAAAGCATAACTAAAAAGAAAGTGAATACACATTTTCTAGTGAATGTTGTTTTAATTTAACTACCATCAGCAGTGCACCTACAGTACAGAGTTTTACTGATACAAGGATCTTAGTTTGGAGAATGTGCTATCAGCGTCTGATGTGGCAAATACAGTATGGAGTACCGTAATTGCATACCATAACAGGTACCTGCATACCGTACAAATACAAACTAATTACAGTTAATTTCATACCAGGATCTGTGCTAGGTCCGGCTTCTTCTGTCTTGCCGTCATCGCTTCCTCCTTCATCCTCCTCTTCATCATCATCCTCATCTTCTTCATCTTGCTTCTCTTGTGTTTGAGATGGTTGAGGTACATCAAAGTTCAGAGTAAACTGACCCTCTTGTTCAAGCATCTGAGAAATAAACACCATATTAAGGGGAAGTTAACCCTGATTTTAAGTTTATTCTAATAAAAGCAGAAAAATTTGAGAAACAAATAATTGAAAGTTTGAGAAGGGATGTGATAGAGAAGGACTGGAATCAAGCCGCTCTCCTATGACCCCATGCTCCAAGCCGCCGCAAAGTTATGCGCTAATCTGCAAGTGTTGATCAGGTGGTGAGATAAAAGAGCGCCATGAAATTTCAGGATTTAGAATTACTACATCAGAAAATGGTATCACAGCAATTGTTCGCTGTCCCTTTCAATGATTTCTCATCCATTGTTGAATGTGTAAAGAGTAGCACAAGCGAACACAAACTTGTGTACTTTCATGTCTCAGATCCTCATTACGGTAGATAACTTTACACAGGCGCGCGCCCGCCCGCAACCCACCGCCACGTACGGTATGCACTTGTATTGTGCAGCGGTTTGCTGTGAAACCTGTGAAAAACTGTATACTAATATCAACGTTTTTCCGAAAAATACTCCTAAAATAACAAGAAAATTTACATGAAACAGGTAATAAACATAACAACTTTTAAATCATGATCTTTTTTTTGACATTTAATGAATATTTACTTCATTTATGGTATGTTTTAGTAGGGTATCTCCACGCCAGAGTTACGGGTCAAATTTTGGATAGATTTCTGAACAAGAGCCATGCACTTCACACATAACAGACGCACACACTGCATTGCACACACATGAAATAGATCTAGACAAATCAACAAACATTTCAGAATTAATTTCCAGTTTGTACCTTCAATATGACGGAAATGAGAAATTTGTTAAACTTTAAAAATAGTTACGTAAGACTTAACTGAAGTGAATTAACCTTTTAAAGGATGCTGAAAAAATTGTAAAAAATAGATCTAGAAGACTAGAGGGTTGAACTTTGACTGAAATATCATAATTTGGGTATCGAATGAATTATGAAACAGAAAATCGCAAGCTTGCTCCTACTCCTACTAGTCCTAGCTCCTCGCACAATTTTTATACTAAACAGTCCGAGTCTAGACCTCTAGATCTAATTGAGTGCATGGGAACCAGCGCGATAGCCAATAGGAAGGGCCCTGTCGGCGCCAATTTAGTAAAATGAGACTGCGATTCGCCAAGATCGGATGAACGTTTTGGGCACACAGAGGAGCATCACTATCCTGACTCACTGACTGTGTAGTAAAAGCTGTGCTTTTGATTCTCAACATTTCAAACACCACTGTACAAAACTCAACTGATTTCACTCAAAATTGGTACATTAGTGACAATTGATGACACCTAAATAGCAGTAAAATACATTTTTTTTCAACTTACTGATGTTAAAAAGAATAATTTGAAAATTCAAATTGTAAGTCTAGTGTCAAACTTTGCTTACAGCTGCATCGACATGTACAGTCTATGCGATATTGTGTGGTGTGTGTTAGTGTATAGACTTCTAGGTCTCTGCCTCACAGCATGTATGCAGTGCTAGAGGTCAATACGCATTAGCATTGACTCTCTATGCTTTGCTGGAGTGGTTTTGGGCATGCATTAATTGACTAAATCATAATGTAAGTTCTCCGTGCGTGCCAGGCGCAGCGCGCAGGCCAGGCCGAGCCATACATGCTCCTCACAGCGACCAGCCGGGTCCCGATGGCGTGGGGCGTGAAGCTACAGCGGCCTGTAGCCTCTGCGCTGCGCTGGCCTGGTGACACTTGTCGTTAAGTTCTTAATGAGCGAAATAAATCTACAGACATAGACCTCGGGCTCTACATTTCATATTATATTATTACCTGTTGCCCCTGAACCCACTTCTCAAAAGGAATTTCTCCCCGAAGATACTGAAGAAGCTGTTCTTTGTCGATTTCTTCTTGGTCCATATTTGTTGGTTATTCTCAATTTCTCAATTAGGGTGTCGCCGAAAACTTCAATCGCTAAAGGAAATTATTTCTAAACCAAAAAAAAAGTAATAAAAAAAAAGTAATAATAAAAAGTAATAAAAGTAATAATTCGATAAGAATTAACAATTAAGGAAACTAAAATATTATTTAGGATGAGAATAAGGGGTTCATAGGGGAAGGAGAATAAGAAGGGGGTAGAGGAGAAGAAAAAAAAAAGAATGATGATAAATAAAGATTGAAGGATATCAGCTTATAAATAGTGTGAAGTTACGTGAAGGATTATATATGAAAATGTGACAATTCAATTTGTCAAATAATGGACTTTCGTCAGCCACTGACACTGTACATCCAAAGTCAGCGCTCATGGAGACTTAAATTGCTGGTTTTATACACAGGGTGACAGGGGGTAGCCATAGTTTGATGGTTTTTTTTTTGGGGGGGGGGCAGGGCACATATGCATGTAATTGATCGACGTTCTGGGGAGGGGTCTAAAAAAGTTCAACCGATCTTGGAAACATTTTTTTTGGCACCGGGCACGTGCCCCCCCCCCCCCCCCCCCCCGTGGATACGTGCCTGGTTATATATGAGAATAAAGAGCAACTTTTGAGCTTTAAAACGATGTAGACCCAGGGGCGTCGCCAAAGGGGTGTGGGGGGGGGGGTGCGACACCCCCCCCCCCCCCCCCACCTGTCAGGATATTGTCGGTCAAATTGTGCTGCCGTCGGGAAAAAGAGAAAAGGGGGAGGGGAAAAAAGAGAGGGAAAAAATAGAGGGAAAGGGAAAGAAAAGAAAAAAGAAAAGGAAAAGAAAAGAAAGAAAGGGAAAGAGAGGAAAGAAAAGAGAAGAAAGAGTGAAAGGGAAACAAAAGAAATGGGGGATGAAAGAGAGGACAGAGAGTCTGAGAGAGGAGGAGTGGGAGTAAAAGAGAGAAGTGGGTTGTTGGATGGAGTCGTCTCGTCGAGGGAGCCGGTGTGACCGCACCGTTTGTCCTACCAGTTTCGTTTGTCCGTCGGACATAACATGCGGGTTTTCTGCTCGCATCGATCGTCCGTGACTCGCACGGATCGTCCGAGGGACGATCCGTGCGGTTTGCTATCCGCACAGTCTGTCCTCATTTTGTTTTACGTGTATATTTGATAAAAGGAAGCAACTCGGTAAATCATGTGGTAGACATTTTTTCTAGATATTACATAATAATAACTCTCTACAATTTTTTTAAAGCAAATGGGCCAGTCCTTTTGAAAGTAGAAGTGAATATTTTATTTAAAACCTTTATTCTATGAATATCGGCCCCACAACTGTTGTAATCGATTATACTTTTGTACGTGTCTTCGTTCTTCAACCGACTCACTACTAGTATATACTCGTGATCCAGGAAATAAAAGTGATTGAAAATGTGGTTGAAAGTGAGTGGGGGAGGCTAGAGTATTTAAGATAAGGTAGAGCGTAGCACAAATTGGCGGATGCTCAGGGGGTAGGGGCATTTAATTACGGTCAGATGAGCATATTTTAATACCTTATCCATGACACTAGCAGGTCAATAATTGGCGTATGGTCCAAGGGGCGGAGCCCCCGGAAGCGCAGGGGTTTTAGGCATTAAAATTACGGTCAGATGAGCATCCAGGGGCCAGCCTTAGGGCACAAGGTGGGATCAAGGGGGCAGAGCCCCCGGAAGCTCAGGGGTATGGGCATTTAGTTACGGTCACATGAGCATACTTTATTTTCTATTTCTTTCTATTTAATTATCTTTAATATACTTTTTCAAAAGTGTGGGGGGGGGGGGGGGGGGGCTTGAGCCCCCAAGCCCGCCGTTCCACAGGAGTATTGTTTCCCTGATCCGTATATAGGCCCTGGGGCAGCTAGCCATAATCCGATATTTGGGTCGTTTTCCGGTCAGAACTAGCCCTTACTATCATTCCAGGATTTTGTTTCAGAACCTGAGACAAAGTTACCCAATCCCTTTAAGTTCAAAAATTAGAATTCATTGACCTGTACAAAGGCTTAGGGACCCGGGGGGGGGGGGGGGGCTTGGGGGCTCAGATATCATTGAGCCCCGCAAAAAAATTTGCGGGGCTTATAGATATCATTAAGCCCCCCAATTTGTCGGTGGGGCTTAGATATCATTGAGTCCTTAGGGGCTAAAATACCATTGAGCCTCCAATATTTAAGCGGTGCTCAGATATCATTGAGCCGCCCCCGATACTTATTGCGGGGCTCGGATATCATTAACCCCCCCCCCCCCTCCTCCCCAATCATTATATTCTAGGCATGAAACTCATGTATACCTATAATCTACAGGCTTACCATTCAAATATAAACATTTTATAAATATTTATTTGGGGAGGAGGGGGGGGGGGGGGGGCTCAGACATCGGATCTCGCATACCATTGACCCCCAAAAATATATTTGGTGGATCTCAGATAATTATTATTGAAACCCCCAAATATTTTGGCGGGACTCTGATATCATTGAGCGCCCCCCCCCCCCCCATATTTTGGTGGGGCTCAGATATCACCCAATTGTTTTTTGTGGGGTTCGGATAACATCACGGAGCCCCCCGATATTTGTGTGGGGCTCGGATAACATCACGGAGCCCCCCGATATTTTGTGAGAGGCTCGGATATCATTGAGCCCCCCCCCCCCCCCCATATTTTGGCCGGGCTCGGTTATCATTATCATTATAGATTGGTGCACATCATTATGCTCGATTATCCTCTCCTATCTGTTTGTTTTTCATTCCTCTTTTAGTCATCCTTTATTTGCTACCTATGATATTTGATAAATACCAATGTATGCAAAATAAACCCTGGAGGTTTAAAGTTGTAAAGTCCAGGGCAGTTCAACACACGCAATCATGAAATAAGGATGTCTTCATCGAAGTGTCTCTGTAGGTTTAGAACCACGCCTGTGCCTACCCGCTCAGGCCACTCTACATTCAGGGGCGTCGCTAAAGGGGGGGGGGGGGGGGTGTGGGGTTGAAGTCGGTGGGATTTTTGTTATGTCGGTCGGCCAGCAATTTTTTCCCCCTCGAGCTGTGACTTTTTATCGGACAAAGAAACATTTTTGAAAATTCAGACAATGATTTAGAGTCGGTACAATGTATAGTCTTCTATTTCTAATAATTTAATGAAACGTTGAAGCTCCCGCATTTCGCGCGAGAGGGGGAGAAACTGAATTCAGACAATTAGGGTCAAGAGTAGAGAACGGTACACAACAAATCGTCTTCTTTCTATAATAACTTAATGAAACGTCTAAGCTTCCGCGCTGCGCGTGGGATGGGGAAACTGAATTCAGATAAGGATTAAGAGTCGAGAACGGTACAACAAATCGTCTTCTTTTCATAATAATTTAATGAAACGTCTAAGTTACCGCGCTTCGCGCGGGAGGCCTTTCACCCTTCCCCTCCCCCACGCGCGCTCTTTAAGTGATTCGCTTGCTCAATACCGCCCCTCCCTAAAATAAGATCCTAGCTACGCACCTGCGTTTAAATATATAGCTATGATGCTAACTAAGTTGACGAAATAATTTGTATATTTATGTCGTCGACGAAAATGACCATTTGCGCATAACAATTTAGCCTTCGCATGATCATTTTTGCGCTTCTTGCTGCCAGCAAGATAGTTTCCTTCTGCATTTAATTTTGTTGCTGTTATGAGTTTATATTCATATTTTTGTTATCAAACAGGAATAAATAAATGAATATATTAAATACATTTGTACAATACGATTTGTACGATAGTTGTACAATGATGATAGAAGAACCAATGAAAATCGCAACTGATCTTTCCTAATTCTTTTTCCCTTTTCTTTTCTTCCTCTTTGTTTTCTGTCCCTTTCTCTCCTCTTACACTTTCTCTCTCTCTCTCTCTCTCTCTCTCTCTCTCTCTCTCTCTCTTTTTGCTGAGGGGGGGGGGGGGGAGGGGTACACATCGGGAAAAATTGCAACTGATCTCACCTACCTATCTTCTTCCTCTTTTTTTTCCCCTTTCCCTTCCCTTACTTCTCTCTCTGTCTCTCATTTAAGTTTGGTAAGGGAGGCAGGGGCCTTTCACCCCCTCCCCCGATCCACATGATGTTGGTGGGATTAATTGCAACTGATCTCTGCTTCTTTTTACCCTTTTCTTTACTTCTTCCTCTTTTGTGTTCCATTTTAGCTCTCCTCTTTCCCTTTCCCTTCTTTCTCTCTTTTTTTTTTTTGGCGGGGAGGGGGGGGGGGGTGGTCGGGGGGCAGAGGCAAGGGCCTTTCTCCGCGATCCACATCTTGTGTGCATGAAAATTGCAAGTGATACCCCTTCTTTTCTTTTCTTCTTTTGGTTCTTTCCCTTTCCTTCCTTCTCTCTTGTTTTGCGGGGGAGGCAACAGCATGGGCGGCAAGGCCCTTTCGACCCCCTACCGATCTCCTTCTTTCCCCCTTTTTCCTTTCTTCTTCCTTTCCTCTTCTCTCTTCTTTCCCTTTCCCTTCTTTTCTCTCCTTCTCTCTCTCTTTCTCTCTCTTTTTGTTTGCTGAGGGGCCAGGGGAGGGTAGGCGAAGGCCTTTCGCCCCCGATCCACACCGCGTTGGTGGGAAAAAACACAATTGATCTCCCGTACCTTTCTTTTCTTTCCCTTTTCCTTCTTCTCCTTTCTCTCTCTTTTAAGTTTGCTGCTGAAGGGGGAGGCAAGGGCCATTTGCCGCCCCCCCCCGATCCCCAATTTGTTCGCGGGAAAACTGCAACCGATATCCCTCTTTTTTCTTTCCTTCCTTTTATCTCCTCTTTTCCCTTTTTTCTTTACCTTCTTCCTTCTCTCTTTCTTTTTGCTCGGGGGGGGGGGGGCAACAGCCTGGGAGGCAAAGGCCTTTCGCCCCCCGATCACCTTCTTTTCCCCTTTTCTTTTCTTCTTCCTCTTCTTCCTTTCCCTTACTCTCCGCTTTACCTTCTCTCTCTCTCTCTTCATTTTTTGTTGGCGGTTGAGGGGTCAAGGCCCTCTCGCCCCCCCACCCCCTGGATCCGCGCTGGGAAGACCTGTAGTGTCATCCCTAGCTAGCTGGC